CTGACAGTTTCTAAAGGGGTGGTACTCCCAATTAGTGGCACTAATTGAGGTTTTCTTTTTTAAAATAAGTCATTGTTGCTGGTTCCATAAATGGCAGCAGCAGCAACTGTGTTCACAGGTTGGCCATTTTGCATCTTCCCTGGCCTTCTCTGCCTGTGCAGGTACAGAGGGAAACTCTCAGAAATACTCAGAAAAAAATATATTCTGAGAAATTTCAGCTCAGCTTTGCCTCTTCCCCACAAACACTTTGCAGATAGTATTGTTGGGAAATGCCACATCTCTTCCATGGATACCGGCAGAGCTGCTTTGCTGGGGGACCCACACAAACGTCAGTAAACTGAAAGTTGGAGAAACTCACTTGTTCACAGTCCTTTTTATGACAATCCCATTCAGGCTGCATTTCATGACATATAATGTAAGGTACCCTGTAGCTCCAGGAATTAATATTGGCCATCTGGCAAGAAAGGAATGAACTTGTAAGCTGATTTCTTCCAAAGATTTAGCCCAGGCAGATGGAAAGCTTGGGCCAGGGTTGCTGGTTTCCACAGCAGGCCCAGCATTTATGCATCACCCCTGGAAGGGCTGAACTACCACATGCAGTTCCCTCTTGGACTTTTATCACATTTTCTTGGCTCCTTCTCCTTGTATCACTTTCAAGAATCCAGGCTAGTTTATTACCTTAGAAGCTGATGCTAGTCTATTTAAAGAGGTGGAATATCATTCAGTTCCTGTCCAACAAAGCCAATTCATGGGTTGCTCAATCCAGCCCAAGTTTGTATTGCCCTGCTCACTGAGAATAGAGAATCATCATGTGGTTTTGCTAATTTTAAAGGATGGGCACTGTTATCACTTTAACCTGCCTAGCAGTCTTGATTTCTGACAGTGTGTATAAATGTTGAATTGGATATTGTTCCAATTGAAACAGACCAATTGAAGTTAGAGCTGAGTTGTCCCATTGCTTCAGTAGGATTTATATCCAACTAATTTGGTCTGGATCTAGTCTACCATAACAAACCAGTAAAATAGAGGCCAGTCAGTACCATGTTGGCTTTAGTCGACTGATAAAACCCTTACTGCTTTTCTGTGCTGTAGTTTATTGGAAAGCTCTGTTTGTAAAGGTCCAGCAACACCTTTACTTCAATACCGAATAAACAACCATACCTTACAAGATTCTCACCTCCACCCAGCAACCATCGCCATTTTAGAAGACACAGCTAGTTTTGCCTTCTTCTGTTGCATCCAAGCATTTCTTGAATGATTGGGCTGCTTCATGTATTAAATGTTTGTGTTTGCATCCAATTTTTACATTTCTTTCTCTAAACTAGGAATGGTTCAAATAGGTGTTTGTAAACACAACCATCAAGCAAGCATGTTCAACTTGCTGAGACTGACTGCTGGAATAGTCCACTTAACAAAGTACATGCATTGACAAACCAAGGTTTCTTCCTGTATAAACTAGTAAATAGTCTTTCTTAGCAATCTTTTGGGTTGCTTTCCCTGGATGGAAAATGGGTGGACACAGCAAGGTAGATCCAGACCTACTAGCAGATTGATAGATAATGTAGTAAGAAAAACTTCCAAGCAGTCAGGCAATGGACCCAACTATCTGCCTTGAGCAGGGAGTTGCACTGGAGAGCCTTACTGGTTCAACTCTACTATTCCATGGTTCTACCTCATGGTGGGCTCTCAGGGGCTGGAGACTGGAAAGCCACTAGTCAGGGATTCTTGAAAATGGATTCTTGCACCAAGCAGAGGGATGGCTTGGGCTCAGTGCCCTAAATGGCCCCTTCTAAGTGCCTTATCCTAGTTCAGCAAGAGTTTCTGATTCCCAACAGCAGGAAGGGCAATGCAAAAGCTTTCTTTTCCTACCTGTTCCCAGATTAATTAGAAGGCTGAAATGACACTGATCTGAAGGATCTTAGATGTGGCAGTGTTCTGGTAGATTCAGGTCAACCCAGTGATTATTCCACCCCTGAGTCCAGTTGATGGAGTAGATGCCTCTAACAGAATGCAAAGTAGATGCCAGAAACCTGAAGTCTGACCACAACTAGTTTAGACAATATAGTAGTAGCCCAACCATAAAACAGGACAATGGATAAATTTTAAGCCCATGTTTTAGGACGTAACCTCTGAGAATCAGTTTCAGCCCCTCCTCACTCCTATTCTGACAACACCCCAAGAAATACTTATGAGGGAGGACAAATAAGCATTCCTTACGCATTCTCCCATCTGCTCACACAAACAATGGGTGAAAACATATGGCATGTGGGCTGGATTGAGTCCACAAAAAAATCTCAGCGCAGAACTCTTAATAGAACATTGAGAAACTCAGCTCACAGTATGTTTCTTAAAGGTCACATTTCTGAGACCCTACAGTTGCAAGGAAATGTCATCAAGTAACTGATGCCAGGATTGTGGCCCCTTGTCTTCAGTGTTGGATCTTTGTGGTCTTTTGTGCACCTCCTAAACTAGCTTGCTGCCTAAAAAATGCTGCCTGTGTGGAAGCAAGATTGTCTGGCAAGTTTCTGTGCAGTGGAGATTAGCCTACATCATGGAGGACAGGTATGTCCAGGGTTATTAGGCAATCACAGCACAATCTGCCAACCAAATGCTTCTTGATGGGCAGCAGCAGCAGAGAAAGGTTCTTGCCCTCACATCCAAGTCATGTTCTTCCCAGAGCAGCCTTCCCAGCCTTGTGCCTTCCAGAAACATTTGGACTGCAACACCCAGAATTCCTACTCAATAGCTCTGCTGGATGGGAATTCTGGCAGTTGCAGTCGAATGCCTCTGAAGGCCAACAGGCTGGGGAAGACTGTCCCAGAGGAAAGGATGCTGTATCTGGTGAACCACTCATCTGACAGGGATATTTTGGCTGGACTGAGGACATCCTCCTGGTTTTATATCACCTCCGCAGCAGGTGCTCTAATCTGCCGCAGACATTCTTGAATCACACATCCAGTAGCATAAAGTCCTACTATGGCTACATGAAGAGGATGTGTGGGAGGGAAATTATTTTAAAGGGCAAATGGCCAAATCTAAAAGCAGTGCCTCAGTCCCCTGGCATAAAGGCACTGCTTTAACCATGGTAGCAAAAGCCCATGTCAGCCTGCGATCAAGCAAAGACAGCACAGAACAATGCGCCCGGCTTTCCAGAGGTGCAGCTATATAGGCAGGTCTACAGGAAGAATTGCTTGCGTGACTGAAGAACCCTTCCTGGTGAATTGTCTTTCAGCATTCACCAGGATAAGGCAGAGAAAACCTGGCTAGGCTGCAGTTTCTATTTACTTTTCAAGTTTTCAGCATTGTATGCCATTAAATACATACAATGTTGGTAACTTCCCAACTAGACTTTTGCAACGCGCTCTACGTGGGGCGGCCCTTGAAGACGGTCCGGATACTTCAATTGGTGCAAATTAGAGCTGCCAGGCTGCTGACGGGGACTGGGCATTATGTTCACATGACTCCAGTCCTCCATCAGCTTCACTGGCTCCCCACTGAAATCCGGGCCCAATTCAAGGTGTTGGTTATTACCTATAAAGCCCTTAATGGCTTGGGTCCTGGTTACCTAAAGGAGCACTTACGTTCATACGTGCCCTCCCGCCCCTTGAAATCAGCGGGAGAGGCCCTTCTCCGGGAACCCTCCGTGAAGGATATTAGGAGGGTAGGTACTCGGAGGAGGGCTTTCTCTGCGGTGGCGCCCAATCTATGGAATGCACTCCCCAAAGAGGTCCACCTGGCACCGTCATTATTTGTTTTTCGGCGCCAGGCCAAGACCTTTTTATTTAAACGTCATTTTAATTGTTAACATTGTTTATTGATTTTATATCTTTGGCCAGGATGTCTCCAATTATATTATGATATTGTTTTTATATGGTTGACATGTATTTATTTATTGTTGTGAGCCGCCCCAAGGCTTCGGAGAATGGGGCGGCATAGAAGCTCGCTAAATAAATAAATAATACAAGCACGAGAAAGAAAGTAACTCACAAGAAAGGCCCAATTCTCAGCATTAAATTTCACACTACATGAAATGCATGGTATTTAAACTTGTGCCAGCTTTTAAAAAAATTAAGCATGTGGATCTTGACCTGGATCAGGACCATCATAAACAGGGAGTAGGGACAAACCTCTGCCCCCGGCCCTTTTGTGCAGGGGCTAAAGAAAACTTCCAGTGGTGCCATTTTTTTCTTTTTTCTTTTAGTCTTTGCTTGGAGCATATTTTGAGGAGAAAAGTGGCTGAGTTGGAAGTTTTAAACCTCCCACACATGTGATAAAACCAATTTGAATCAGGTCCCTGAACATGTAAGAGAAGTGGGTGTTCTCATAGGCTGTCTATGCATTTAAACCTAGTATGTTACTTAGCGCTGATTGAGGCAGGAAACCTATGTGTGGGCTGAACCACTTCAGACGGCTCTTGGGCACTCAAAATGGCCAAACATTCCTTCACTACAAAACTTCACTGAACACAGAACAGAACATGTCAGGGAAAAAGGCCAGGCCAGGCCCCTTCTCTCTGACATATGGCTTTCTCTATGTAGGCAAGACTTTGTTCCTTCTTTTTTGGATGAAGAAACATTCAGCCATGGGAGTAACAGTCTGTCGACTGAAGTACCGCAGAGGACAGAAGGCACATGCTGGAACTAGGGCAAAGATGGCACAGAAGTCAGTTTCTGAAAGCCCAGGAGTATTCCATGCTCAGACAAGTAAGGACAATGCAGCCTCCTCATAAATGACCACCCAGGAGGACATCTAACAGATCATTACACAAATATTTTGGTGTTTTCAAACCACAGCCTGAAGCACCCATCATGAGGCTACCAGGTGCCTCCAATTTATTTTCCTGAGGACTGTACAGAAAAAAATGTTCATGGACTGTGCTCCCTTTCCAATGAATGCATCTTAAGCCATGTATGGGCAGAGTTAAGTACAACCTGAGCAATCACCAAGAAGAATGTTTTCCTTGACCAACAGTTTTCATCCTATTAATCTGAGGGAAGAATGCTATATTTACTATTATTTCAGAATACGCCACTGAATGGATACACATCTCCACCAGCATCTTAACCCAGCCCCCAAGTCAGAAGCGTTTTCCGCAAGTACAAAAATACACATTTATTTGAGAACATATACAATAGTAAAATTTTACCAAGATATATTATACAATCTCAAAGCATTTCAAAGGTAATGCATTACTTTCAATATATTATAATAAAGAAGATTTCAACAGTATAGAATAAAATTACACAAGTTCGGCCTGTACCACCACCACCAAGATGTAATGCCATACGAGTGTAGGGTCATTAAGAAACTATTCACAATAGTAACAAAAATGTAATATTCAAATGGAACACAATAAGGTGACACACACATTAAACTTGAGTAGTTGTAAGTTATAGGAAGGTCAGAATCTATACTTTATTTTAAAAACATTCTTCTTTGCTGTGAGAGGAAAGTGACCAGAACTACTGAATAGTTGCCCCAGAAAACATACAAAAATGTTACAACTCCTTTCCCTGGAGGACAATGAAATGGACCATCAGCTTCAAAAGAGATATACAATACCATAGCTATGGAGTCCAGGATGACCTCACGCACTACAACCAAACCACAACAGACACGAAACATAGATCTACAATGTTCAGAACATACAGAGTGGTTCAGAGAAAAGCCGCACAATGCAAGCACATCTACAAGTGTCTGCAAATGTTTTAGAACTAAGTGTTCCTCTTGAAGGTTTTGATGTGGCCTTCCCAGATATCAGGAAGTGTCTTTGAAATCACAAGACTATATCTGGGAAAGCCATCCTGGTAATTCCTCAAAAGCACAAGTACCATTAAGTCCCTGATGAGAATGTATCGCCCCTGGGATATTAAAGCAAACATAGTTATGTTGAATACTGGCTGCTTAAACATAAGATTCCTCTGTAAAAAATATTTGGTCCATCTTCTCAAGCTGGGGGTCACTGCACAGCTTTCTCAGCTGCTCCGTTTTGCTAGCATCAGCCCTTTCCTTCGATTCTGGGGAGCAACGATTTGAATCAGACTGAAACATAAATTCATTCTCAGCTTTGGCGAGATTCAGAGAGGCACAGAATTCCTTCCCAGAGGGGGCTTCAACAACTTCGGGCTCTGTGCTTGACAAAGACGTATCACTCTTGCAATCTGCAGCCTGCTGAGCAGTGACCTCTGTAAGAAGCGCAGATTCACTGGCATTTTCCTCAGTGACCCACTGACATTCAGCAGTGAAGACAGGATCTGGCTCAGGTTTCTGCTCAGCACTTAGATTAAGACAGGAAGGCTGTGTTTTTTGAGAAGGCAAAAAGGAAGAACTTTCCTCCTCTTCCTCTTCTTTGCTTTGCTCTGCCAAAAGTTCTAATGCCTTTAGCCGTTTGTCCTGGACTTCCACTGGACAAAAGGGAGGGTTGCCAAGTTGCCCAGCTTCTCCCTGAAAAGGACCATTCTCCTGGTCCACTGAGACAACATGAACATCTGGCACGCAGGAACTGCCCAATCCTTGCTGCTGCCTTTGATGTAGGTTAGCCTCTGATGCATCTGAAGGACAGATTTGTGACTCCACTGTTATTTTAATGGAGCTGTTCTTTTTCTCTTCCTGCTTGGAGGCTCTTTCCCTTTTCCGCAGAGTCCAGTTCTTCATGGTGGAAGCTCCACTTTTTAACCATGTGCTGGGATGCAGAGTGACAGAGCTTTTGTGAGGAGGCCATTCCAGACTCTCCTTCCTGGCAGATACTGAGCTGCCATTATTGCTACCACTTGCTTGGTTAGGAAAAGAGCCACCCCCTGAACCAAGATGGACACCCGAGAAGGGGTTGAAATCAGGAGAGACCTCCCCATACTTCCTCTGGGGGTGAAATGAGCAGTCCAGAGGAGAGGAGGTCTCTGTTGGGGTAAACACAGAGTAGTCCGAAAACTGGGAAAAAGCACTATCTAGAGAGCTCATTGAAGACCCTGAAGGAGAGGTACCAGGGGAGGACAGGCTAGAACAGCTAGTCCTGGAGCAGATGTTCAGCCTAAGAGGAGGTGGTGGGAGAAGGCGGTTAGATATCTCCTTCTTTTCATTGGTCTGGCTTTCAGGACCATCTGTGCCAATTTCTATGTTTCTGACCAAACTCTGATTTATAAGCTTCTGGCCTTCCACTTGTAGCGAGCGAAGCTGCTTGAGATAGTCTTCATCTGTGTGGGACAGAACAGCATCACAGCTGGCTTTGCGCACGGCACTTTCATGGAACCCACTGAGGGGTGTAAAGTTGGAGGCAAGAAGGCCAATGGTGGGTTCAGAACAGCGCCGGTGTCTTCTTGAGCTTTTGAGGACATCTGAGATGGCCGTTGATGAGTAACCTGATGTGATGGAACACAGGGACTCATTCTCGGAGTACTCTCGGGAGGGGGATTTGTGATGGAACCCAGCAGAGATGGACAGTGGCTGAGACTTGGCAGGTAATTTGATCTGAGGGTCTTCTGCTTCGGGTGGGTCTAGATCACAGTCACTCAGGGTCAAAACAGAGTCCCTACTCCTGTTCTCTTGACCTCGTTTTTTAAGGAGGTTGTTAAATGAAGAGTCTGCACAGTCGTTCAACTCGTTTTCCAGACTGTCATAGGAGGAGTCATTCAGGTGAAAAGAAGACAGATCTGCAAGAGCGTGAAGCAGGGTTAGCACAACATGAAGTGTCGCAACACCCATTCATTCAAAAGCAGCACTGCTTGACAGCAATGAACAGGAGCCATCGATGCACGGGCTTTTGCCTAACGCACTTTCAGGATGATTTCATTATTTAAGCTCCGGCAGGTTGTGGTGTGCAGCAGCAGCCGTTGTGAATATTCGAATTCTGACGCAAAGGTGGCGGGATCCTTGTACAGGCTGCCCACACTGGGTTTGCACCATGTCATGAAAATCTATTCATCACAACCTGGATATTCAAAAGAGCACCAGAACATACCATAACCCACTGCAGCTTAAATAAGCCACAGTGAGGTGCACTGGTCGTGCAAACCCAGCCCAGTGACACGCTGAAAGCCATTTGGACCATACATTGTCCACTCCCCTGCACTGCACTGTGTGCTGCAGCACATGGTCGAGTCACCATGGAGAAGGTGCCAAAAAAAAAGCTGCTGGAGTGCAAGTTAAAACACTAGAACAGCTTTCCCCAACTTGGTGCCCTTCAGATGTAGTGGGTTGCAACTCCCTGCATCACCACTGGGGAAGACTGTGCTAGAACAAACGCCACTTTTTTCACTCAATTTACTTCTAAGTCTTTTTTTTTACCTGAACCATCTTCTCTGTTGTCATTTTTGGGCATGATGTCTGCAAAGATGGAAGTAATTTCCTCTCCAAAAATCCGGCAGCAATTTTCAATTAGGAACTGTACAAGGATGGAAACCTGCAACCAGAGAAGGAACAGACGGCACGAGGTTCAATGGCATGACCCTTGCCGGGGATCAGAGAAACCACATGGTTCCTAGGAAAGCTTCTACATGGTCATCTCTCTACCAGTCCACTACACAAGAGCTTGCCACCAGTCCTTCTATTATCTCACTCCCTGGATTGTTCCATTTTAATTCTGGGACTCTGTGCTATGAAGAAATATGCAGCTGTGGATGTTTTCCTTCACAAAATGCCCTTTATGTTTGCAAGGACACATATATGTAGCATGGTTCTTTTAAAATGCTGAGCCTTCCTTCTTCCTTCTAGGCCCTGCTGTTTCCTTGGCACAGACAGGCTCTTTCCACAATGCTTTCCCCTTTTGCTCCCCGGTAGAACATGTTCCTTGCCTGCCTGCTGTCAGCTGTGCACGCTCCCATTCCTGTGCCAGTTCTTTTCCTCCCACACAAATCCGCCTGGTGCAACCTGCCTGTTCTAGGCTGCCTCCCAAGACAGGACCGGCATTCAGAAGTTTCCTATAAGAGCTATTGTACACATGGGGAAAGGAGGACAGAGTGAGTGCTGTGCTGACCCGGCCCACAGCACCCTGCCTATTGAACAGCTAGCTTTACATGAACAAAAATGCATATTGAGAATGATGGGAAAATAAGGCATTGCCATAACCACCAGGGGCTGGAGCAAGTTTTATATACTCAGCAAAGTGAGTGAAGAGTTTTTCTTTTCATTAAGACATTCAAGCTGCACATTGGGGGTTGAATATTTGAATCCTGGTTCATAAAACAAATCAGGAAAAAAAATCCCTGCCCACAGAAAAACACATATTGGAGACTGAGCCTCCCTTGAGCTCAGAACTGCTCTTTGTGTGCAAGAAGATGTTACCTATTTGTACACACAACCTCTCTCTGTTGTCCAAGAAAAGCTTTAGTACTCAGTACTGTTGTTTGCACTCAACTTGTCTTCAGGTGAATGAGAAGTCTACGTGTTCCACCTCTAACATGGGCCAATAAAAGCAAGAAGAATTATGCTGCTACCAACGTGTCTGCACTTGAGCTGAACCAAAGTTTTTGGGAACATTTCCAGCTTGCACTGGAAGGCTTTGTGCTGGAGATATTTCCAAGCACTATAGTGCAGCCACACAGTTTTGCATCCCAAGTGCATAATTGTAGGATCCCACAGTGATCTTGCTTGCTGGGTGCCTTTTGTTCAATGTTTCCTAGTTGTCCTTTACTGAGAAGATATCAGAATGAGGAGAGAAAGCATCACTTCCTGCTCCTGCCCTCACTTTGAGGTGTCATGAGCCTCACACTGCTCTTTTCCAGGTAAGAGAAGCAAGGGCACATGGAAGAAGCAAAACCAAGGAGCTGAAGGATTAAATGGTTCCAGAGATGAATGAGGCACTCACTCTCTTTGTGCTTCTTACTAGACAGGGGAAAAAATACAGGGGGAGTGTGACCCTGTTAGTTCTCACAGACCTCTCAGCGATCTGCAATACCACTGACCATGGTATTTATTTATTTATTTATTTATTAAAACATTTCTATGCCGCCCCTTGCCAAGGCCTCGGGGCGGCTTACAACATTGAATACAAAATACATTGGCTAGGTTGGCAGGGCTAGGAGTGAGTTATACTGGGTTTGGTTTAGTTTGCTTTGGTTTGGTTTGGTTTTGTGTTTAACTTTTGCTAACCACCCAAAGAGCCTCAGCAATTGAGCAGTATATAAAATAAGTACTATTTGCGGTCCTTCTGGTAGAGTCTGAAATTTGGGAGAGGGGCATTTTGATTCAGGAATAAACTTTGATGCTTTCTTCCTCTCAGTCTTGGAAGCTCAATCCATAGAGTACAAGACCTGAATTCATGGGTGGTTTCCGAAGATGGCTTAGGGGATGCTGTGGCAGGACGTCTGGACCCATTCAAAAATTAAACAACTCCCTCACCTTAGCAAATAACTACGACCCATATCTTGAACAAGTGCAAGGACAGAAGGCAACATGTAACATAAAGGTTGGCCCAATGCTAATTCCCGAGCTTAAAGGACTGGCCAAAATGAGGGGCAAAGAAAAATGGGCCTCTTTTACTGTTCCCCTTGCTCAGATCTATTTGTATTTTCACCTGAGCCTTCTAGACTAAGCTAGGTGGCTTGCAGGGCAGCTGTACAGTTGCCCTGCCTACAGAGCAAATATCTTAAGCTAGGCAGACTCAATATGCATCGTGCATTTCATGACTGCCCAGCTGCTCCTTACAACAGATGTACAAAACACACAGGGCTGTGCACACGACCCTGAGCTTTTCTACACAAGGCTGTTAATCTGCTGGATAACTACTTTCATTATCATTGCAGGATTGAGATCTGGGTGCTATCCAAGAATGTTTCCTTTCCTGCTTTTCTGTTATATAACTTCTAGGTGGCACTGGGATGCAGCAAAATAACACAAATCTGTAACAGGAAATTGTGCTATCTTTTGCGTCCAAGAATTAAATGCCACATAGTCCTGCTCTAAAAGCACTTGTTGGAAGGGCTAGTTATATATAGAAGCAAAAATGGAAAGTCAAGATGTCATCGAAAGAATCTATAAACATGACAAGTGCACAACAAAAGCCTCAGGTGGAAAAGACTTAAGTGGTGCAAGAATGCAGAATGCCAGAGCCATTTTCCCTTTCCTTTTTTTGATTCTGGTTGACATTGATTGCAGCAGGACAGAAAATCTTGACTTAGGAGAAATGCATCTCCTACCAACCCTGGGTTAATATCAAGAGATGTTCTTAAAAGGGATGAAGTCTGACTAAACAAAACTTAGATACTTGGGGTGGAATTTTTTTTAAAAAACTGCCCTCCCCGTTCATATAACGAGACCATAAGTGAATACATAGGATCTTAAGATGCAGCTCAAGATGCCTTGCAGTATCACAGAACCACACTTATGCCACAGGAATATCGGCAGCTGTAGCCCATGACCCAAGTCACCTCAGCATCATTTAGCGTATCACATCTCTCAACAAGGGCCCTTGCAGTTGCTTAATGAGGTGGAATGTCTTGGTCTCAGCATGAATCAGAGACTTGCTTTGAAGGATGGAGGTTCAACATTGCACAGGGCAAAAAAAAAATCCCACCACTACTGCCAGCACTGCTCTTGTGCATGGGGAGGGATCCAGGCCAAAGGTCACGGGGAATGGAGCCACACAGACCCAGGAAGGAGCTGTGGGTCGGGACACCTCCCCACAGACTTGAAAGTGCTACAGCAGCCTTTCCCAACCTGCTCTTCAGGCTGCAACTGCAGCATTCCCAGGCAGCACACCAGCACGTTGCAGGAAGAAGCCACGGCACAACCAGGAGTGAAAATCGAAAGGGCTCTTAGATGTTTCAAGGGAAGGGAGAAAGCACTCCGAGTGACGCTTGCTTCGCCTCCCCTTGCTTGTGGGCCTTGTCAAAGTGGGGCAACAGCCATCCTATCCCTGCGCTGGGAGAGCATGCATCTCCCTGCTTTAGGCAAGATCTGAAAATCTGGGGAGAGGGAGCACAATCCACTCATGCTTCCTCTTGCACTGCTTCCTCAAAATGTCTGGAATGGCTCCAAGAGGAGGGACACTGCTGAGCAGAAGGGATGCACTCAACTCACCTTCTTTGTGAATTCTCCTTCAGTCCCAGGGCTTGCAGGAGCTGTAGGCCAGAGTAAGCTGGGTGCAATGCAGACTGCTAAATTAAAGGCCGTCATCTGGTTGTCTTCAGACTGCTTTTCTATGCTGTGCAATACTCCAAAGAGGTACCGCAACAGCACCACATTGGCTCTGGGGAGCTGTTCCATTAGCCTAGAAACACAAGAAGTACCTCTTTGAAAGACAGGAGATACGATTTGGCCGCAGGATTGTGCCTCCCCTTGCTTCTCCCCTGATCCTCCGAATAGCACCAATTGGATGCCCGTTTCATGGTAAGTGGAAGCTTCCAGAGGGGAAAAGGTAACCCCAGCTTCTGCATTAAATAAAGAGAACTGTACTCTAAATCTACTTTTCTTCATGCCATGAGCAGGTGGAAATGCTTATAAAGGGACCAAGCTGCAGTACTGAACTGCATACAACAATCAGAACAAATAAATCAAGTTTATGAGCTTGACTGAAAAGGGGCTCAGAAGAGCTGCATTCCACAGTTCTGCTTTTTCTCGGTATTAATTTTTGGAAGGAGCCAAGGAGATTATACAAGCAAGTCTACCTGTGGATGTTTTTTATCTTCTCTTCATGGTTCCCTTCATCCATTAAGGAAACCCATTGATCACAAAGCTGGGAGGAGAAAATGCTGCCCGGGATATTACGAAGAAAATCCTTATTGAAAGAAGGAAGAACAGCACACATGAGCAATCATTCGGGGGGCGGGGAAGAAAATGAAATTGAGCCATCTAAATACCGGGATGCTTTGTAGCCTGTAGCTCAGGGATGGGGATTTCTGGGTGGCTGAATGTGAGTGGGATTGAGTAAATGGAATGGGGGTAACTCGACACTGCAGAAAAAGTCTATTATTAAAACTGTGATCAGCCATAGAAACCGAAGCACTGGGCTTGCATCCAAGCACTGGGCTTGCATCCAGTAGACTGGGGTTCAAATCCTAACTGAGCCATGAAGCTCATTAGGTGGTCACCACCTCCTAGCCCAGTCAGGTTATTAGTGAAATCTGTTTTATAGTATTTGAGAGACTGAGGGAGCTGGGTCTTTTCAGCCTTAAGAGGAAGAGACTCGGGGGAACCTGTTAGTGACATACAGGTTCGTTAGGGGATGCCACACAGAAATGGGTCATGACCTTTTTCCCCCTGCAGTGGAGGGCAGGACGTGTTCCAATGGAGCAAAGCTCAGGTAACTAAGATTTAGGGTTGATGCCAGGAAGTACTTCCTGATGGTTAGGACCCCTGGGGAATGGGCCTTCAAGGGAGGTGGTTGAAACACCATTGGTGAGGGTGTGCAAGGATAGGCTGGACATGCACATGGTAGGCATGCCATGAGCGGAGCTGGTTGGAGCTGGAGGTCAGCCTAAATGGCCCAGAAGTCCCCTTCTGACTCACTCTGTTTCTATGTTTGTATCACTGAAAATTCATACCAACTTGTCTATTTCTTTATTTTTAAAAATCCTGTACACTGTGCCTTGAGAGGGCAAGTCATAATGAAACCTGCAATCCTCTAGTAAGCTTTTGTAGCTAAGCTTGTGCAGTCTGAAACTCAGGCTCTCAGTTCTCCTAGTTGCCGCAAGTAGCTCAAGCTCTGCTTTCCACGCAGAAACCACCATAATCCATTTTAGGACATCCTGAAAGCCATCAGGAAGCTCTACCATAGCTGCCCTGTGAACTCATCCAACAGTAGTGTGGGAGAAAGCTATCTGCATGACCACAACAGGAAAGCAAAAGATAAGTGAAAGCCGAGTAACTTGAGATGGGCTATCAGGAGAGGACCTATTCTTAAGCTTAAGGAGAGCTGGGCAGCAGGACAAAGCAACAGCTCTGAAGATGAACACATTGCTCCAGAGGAGCAAGAGGGGAGAAAGATGCAAGTGTTCCTGTCGGGTTTCAGACCACATATGAGTCTTCCCTGGGCTTTTCTTTCTGGTTTTTGCAAGATGGAAACAAAGCAAACTACCACAATAAATTGTATTGGGAAAAACACGGCCCCCCTCGCTTCATTTTACCCTTTACTGTTTCCAGAAACAGGCCTCTGGAGCTCCCTGAGAACCGCACTGCTGCTGCTCCCATACGCCTCTTCTCTTTCCCCTCTAACTGAGATTGTACCTTGGCCACTGCTTGTTAAAACTCCTATATACGCTGCAGTCCAGATTGTAACTTGCAGAATAAAGGCCCTGACATCCAAGGGGTGAGCTGCACATGGAAGTTTTAGAGGATTCAGCTGTCGAGAAGGTCTAAGGTGCTACAGAAATAGCTCAGTAATACTGCACTGTAGGAGGTGCGAGGTGCATGCCGCTATGTTTTCAGAAGTCTAGAACTGGGAGAAACCACTGGCTCATATCTCAAGAACTGAGCTGCAAGACCTGCTGTAAATTCAATTCAGATGTATCAGACTGCAGATTTGCTTTACTAGACAAACAGCTGTTGACAGTCAAACATCCCAAGTTGCAGGACTTTCAAATGTCAGATTGTCTCTCCCTGTAGGGGTCGAGGGGGAGATGCTGATCTACCTTAAACACAGAGGCTGTCACAAAGATAGACTCGCAGAGTAAATGTACTTCATCCCCAGAGTCAAGTTTCTCCTTCAGCTCTCTACAGGATTTTGCATTTGCAGAACGTCTGAAAATGCCCCGAGTGAAAGGTCCCTCTTGATAGAGAAAGGAAAGCATGTCCTGAAAAGGAAAGATGTACAAATCAGCAGATAAATTTCCCATATTCCCTCCTTCAAGGAGGAGTTAAAAACATGTCTCTTTTCACAGGCCTTCCCAGATGAGTTCTCATGTCAATTTTAGTTAATATGTTGTATTAGTCAGTATTACTCACTCTTGGTTTAATTTCTTGTAAACTGCCCAGAGCCTATGGGAATGCAGTGGTGTGTGTGTGCGCGTGTGTGTGTGTGTGTGTGTAGATAAATACATACATACATACATATAAACCCCCAACTGGCAGCTAATTTTTAAGAGATGCCATAGCTTGCATTGATGAAAAATTGGAGGACAAGCCACACTAGACTGTTTCCTAAGCACTTAAATCACTAGAGTTCAATTAAAATGCAGGTTTGGAAAGCACATACTGGAAGGCTGTTCCATATCAAAGTATTACTTTCTTTTAAACATTTGTATCATGCCCTTCATCCAACAGATTCTAGGGCAAAGGAGAAAGCAAATATACAGAACAAATTATTTATATTAGAAAATATCAATATACATGCACATGACAAAAGCACAATATTAACAATAAAATTAGACAAGGAAATAACATAGCAGACTGCAGCACTTTTCATCCTGGGAAAATTAAAAATATTAATCTGGTGCGATAAAGAGTGCAACAGAGGTGTCAGGCACACCTTTTAAAATGGGCATTCTACACGGAAAAAGCCTTTTCCTTGTTACAGGGCATTCTTTTGACGAGGAAGGCGCAGGACAAGGGCTTCTGCAGGAGGTCTCAAAACATGGGCAGATGTATATGAAGCAAAATGTTAGGGAAACCAGTTAGCAGCCTAGTCTTTTCCTAACATGCTAGTTTTCCATGTGTAGGGCACTTTTGAAAAACACACTTCGTACATAGGACATTCCAAAATAAAATTATCATCTAAGCCACTCTGAATTCTTCCAAGGTTTCTCTGAGATGAACACAAGAACCTCTCATGTAAGAAGTAGTATCTACCTTCAGACTTATGCAACTTGGAAAACTGAATTTTATTTATTTATTTTATTTGGGGCATTTCTATCACGTCTTATACAAAAGTCTCAGGACAGTGATGCAGAACAATACAGTGGCAGCATATAAAAATAGAATATAAATATCTAATAAAACCAATGTTAAAACCCACAATTAATCCTTAAAATACAGGGAAAATAAAAAGGTTTTGGCCTGGTCCTGAAATGAATAAAGCATTGGTGCCAGGAGCACCTCTCTGGGGAGTAGGTTCCAGAACTGGGGTGCTACTGCAGAAAAGGCCCTTCTCTGGGTAGCTACTCTTCTGATCTCCTTCAAAGAGGACTCCCGAAGAAGGACCTCAGATAAGGATCTTATGGTGCAGGCAGGTGCATACGGAAATTTAGGTGATTAGAAGTAGAATGAATGGTCAGTACAACTTCTTCTCAACAGAAGGATCTTTGACTGGAAGGCAGATACTGGGGGTAGGAGGAAAACATGCCATTATTTAAGGCTGAATTTCTATTACTGTAACTTAGATACAACAATTTTTGGCTATGTTGACATTCTGGGCTTGTGTGGAAGATCTGCTGAAGCTCAGTTATGCAAATATGGCAAAGGGGAACTTAATCTGAGGAGTCACGCACACGTCCTTCCCTCCAAAGATATGCCATTCGATGCCTTTCAGTTTCTTCCCCACTCACATGCATTTTATTAGTTCATATCATCCATACTATCTTATTTGTGTTGTCTTTTTAACCCTTTGGGTCCAAAAGCAATTCTTCTACCTTAAAAAATGGCACTGTAGCACCTCAAGCCAGACTGTGATTTTCAGATTATTTGGTCAAATTCAACCAATGACAGCAGCCTTCCCCAACCCTAGTTGCGCTCCAGATGTGTTGGGCTACAGTCCCAGCTGGGCTGGTTGCAGGATGCTGGGAGAAAATTCCTCTGGAGAAAATGAGGTTGGGGAAGGTGAATGAAAACTGCAAGGTTCTTTCAAGAAAGCTTCAGCACTTTGGTGTTTTAAAAGAAAACAGTATGGCTGGGCACTACTTTAAACCCCAATACCCTCCTTCTCTGTAGTCTTCAGTGTCAGACTGCATTGTTTTGCCTATTCCCCATTTCATACATAGGGACACTAAATGGGATTTCTTTACAGATTTAATTTATATTAAATCTGCCCAATAGCTGAAGCTCCCTGGGTGGTTTACAGCAATGTATTAAAATGCAATCTAAAATGCACCACATTATAAAACACTGTAACACACTGCTATGCAAAACTGAAAACCAAATTTAAAGCTCATATAAAATTCTAGCAACTTAAACAAGATATATCTTGGAACCTGATTAAGCAACAAACAAAGCCCAGTAAACCAATTAAATGCCCTGCAGTAGACAACAGTCTCAACCTCGTGCCAAACAGAGAGTAAGGTTGGCCCCAGGTGGGCTCAGTGGCCAGCTCGTTCCATAAATTTATTATATAAAATTTATTTATTTATTATTTAAAAATTATTATTAAAATGAGGGAGGTCACCACTGAAAAGGCCCTTCTTTTGGTTGCCACCAGCCAAGTTGGAGGAGGCTGTCAGAGGCAGAGTTTGATCATAGTTTCTAGGTAGATGGTGGCTGGGACAGGCGTTCTGTATTGCGGTTCCAAGTCAGGTAGGGCTTTACATGTTAAAACCAGCACCTTACATTGGGCTCAGAAGCATAGAGGCAACTATTTTCTTAATTAGTGTATTTTGTACTTGCAGTCGTCCATCTCCATTGCTTCTCTCTCTCCTTCTGTAATTTGTAAGCTAACCATCTCCCGGGTTTATAAGCATTTTTGAAAAAGTTCTGTCTAGTCAATTGAGATACTGCAATGCAGTATATTAGAGATTACTCAAGTATAGATTACTGGGCCACCGGCTGAAGGCAGTCCAAGTACCGAAGGCAGTACTGAAGCCACCGAGGCATCCAATGACCAAGACGTCTCAAGGAGCAGCCCTCAGGGGAATCTGGTCAGCATTTGCCTTGATGAACAGTTAACAGTGGTACTGAATTTAGAATGAAGAGGGACAGTGAGGAAGGAAGTCACTCTGGAATGTGCGGGACAACTTACCAAGACCGGCTTAGGGAGGTTGTCATTCTCACAGATGGCTGGCAGGGAAAGACCAAAGAGCTTCCCTGACTCGGGAGACGTTGGCGATGGTGGTGCATTGTCGAGTGGAACTCCTGTTCCCCGCCAGAAAGCCCAGTTGATAATGGATCTTTTCCTTTTAAATGGCTTTTGGTTCAATTCTGAGGAAAGAGAGAATCCTCTGTTACAAGGGAAATATTGGCATATCTTTTCAGGTGCAGGCTATGCTGGCTAAGGGTTGATGGCAGTTGTAGGTCAAAACATCTGGAGGGCCACGAGTTGCCCATCCCTGCTTTAGGACTTGTGGCAAAGGGAATTCCACTAACACAACTGCTTCCCATACACTTGAGTCTACCCCCTCCACTTGGCAATGCATTGTACATAACTAACTGGAAAACACTCGACTTTAAGATGAATTTCCAGGATCTATACATAGTGACAGTTCTTTTTAACTCTTGGTATGTTAGTTTTGCTTAAAAAACATGCTTCCATTCTTTGAGTATGAACACTTGCCTGCAGCAAAAACTCTGAAGAAGAAGCAAAGGTCAAAGCCTATGTAGAGGCTGTGGCCCATAAATATGAGATGAAGCACAATAGTTTCTTACTGTCATTGTGATATTGCAGTAGTTAAGAGCATTAGACCTGCATCTAGGAGAGTCTGCTGAAAATTCCTGCTCAAAGCATAAAATTATTAGGCACTCTTTGGCCAATCTCTCAGCCTAACCCACTTCACTGACATTTGCAAATGTAAAATGAGTGCAGGGCAGGATACAAATGTTACTAATCATCATGATAATAATACATTATCCTTGGATAGTGCCAAGGTACCCACTGATCAGTGCTGAAAAGCAATTTTGCCTGAACTTGAAATATCAGAAATGTCAAACTCTTGAATTCAAACCATAATTCTTTCCTTGAGTTTGGTTCATGTTTGCAATTAAAATGTGGACTTTACCATCTAGCGTCCATGACCTGAAAAATCACTGTCACCTTCTAAATACCTCATAGAAATGCATAACCTGGAACCTGGATTCTGGAACTTTAAATGCCAAGTGTCAATAGCTTAGACAGGTATCTAAAAGATAATGAGAAAGGAACTAAAGCATGTAGAATACTAGCAAAGAGAGTGCATTAAATAATATCAAAACACTGCAAAAAATTGTAAAGGAGGGAATTGAAACTACAGTGAAATGTTCTATACCAGCTTTCCCCAACCTGATGCCCTCTAGATATGATGGGCTACAAGTTCCATCATCCCCAGATGGGATAGCCATTGTCTATGCTGGCTGGAGATGATGGGGTGGGGGGTGGCATTACAGACCTGGTGTGTAGGTAACACCCCTTCCCTGGTTAAAGAACCTGGGGACTGGCATAGCCATGTGGGAGTGAGCAGGCATGCTGCCTCCTGCTTTTAAGCACTTTTCAGCAACAATCTTGGGTCATTATTGTGACCTGCAAAGCAGGGCCTCTGGGTTTAGAGTTAAACAATGCAGACTTTTAACCCAATAATGAGTCATGGGTCAAAACTCCAGGTTGTTTAATCCTAAACAACCCAGAAAGTTGGGTTTGCACACCACAACAAGAAGCCAGGAATGGAGCTTTCCTGGATTCTTTCAAAAAAAAGTATAAACAAGCAATCAGGCAGGAGCCGGTGATCTTCCTCACTGATGTTCACACATAACCCATAGTTTGTTAACCAAGGTTTGCTTGATTAGGCAAAGAGGGCTTTAGTCCCACATACCTAAAGGAGGCCAGGTTAGGGACAACAGGTACAGGGTTAGGGTTTTTAACCATTTGTATAACGGGTACAACTATAGCCCAGGCCAAAATTCTGCACACCATCTACCATTTTGAACTGAGCAGAGCACTGAAATACAGAACAGCTTCTGCTCCTTGTATACTGATGCTGAAAATAAACAGAGTTGTCACAAGACCATAAAGGTTATTTTAATCTGCCTGAGGCCCAAGGAGGGATCTGCTATTAGTTGGTGGGAGAAGTGGACATTTCTTCTCCCTTTCCATGCTGCTTTCCCTCAACTGCGGCAAGGACAGAGAAGGGCTGCTAACACCTGTGTGAGTTTGCAAAAAGGGAGACATCACTGGCTGGCTGAGGCTCTGAAGTTTTCCACTCCTGTTCATGTCATCCCACCAAATATTAATCATGCAATATTATCCACTATACTTTTTAGTTAAAATACTAGCTTTTGTTATACAGGTAATCACAGAAGATCACTTTACCCATGGAAGTAGGAGGAATACTTTTCACTAAAAGCATCAAGTAAGCAGCACTTAACTGAAAGAATGTGCATTGTTTTAAAATGTGTAATGGCTGGAGAAAAAACTTTGCATAAAACATCTGACAAAAACAAAAGCAACTTTCTGAGAATGTTCCCACAGCTTGGGATGCTTCTGAACATACGAGCAAACACCCGGAGGTTTGTTTTGTTTATTGACCACTGCGAACCATGAGGTCTAGAAACTTTTGAAAACCTTTTTTTTAAAGTATTGTTTTTTAGAAAGATGAGATTGCCAGAAATCTGATGGAGACACTGGATGACAGTCAGTCAAATCTGGGACTCTCAGACACAGCAACGCATTCTTTGGTTGTGCCTATTGTGTCCATTGGTGTGCTAGGCAAAAATTATATTTGTCAGCCTAAGCGAACTCTAACACAAGGTCAAGAGTGTTAGTTTGCAGAGTGAGCTTTTCCAGGAATCCTGTTGTGCAACATACTGCTACTGTCACTGCTTTGGAGGTCCCTCACACTCAGTGATGTGGTAGGTTGCCATGCTATGATGCCATCACATAGATGGTCAGGAAGCAATAGCAGAAGTCCCTGTTGAGTGGAGGCAAGACAAGAGTTCCAGAATTCCTTGCCACACCCAACAACCCGGGACAGAGCATCCCGGCCCTGTTTAGCTGCTCTTGCTGGTAAAAGGAAGCAAGGCAGGAGTGTGATGGAGCTGCCAGAGCATGGGATCAGATCATTCGCAACAATTCAGGTTTTTTGCACCAACCTTGCAAAAACCAAGCTCAAGTGTCACATTGTTGAGAAAATGGAATCTTCCCTCTAGAGTGAGTGCTCCCAATTAGGACAGAAAATGTGCTGCAGGGTGTTAATGAGCATATTATCTGTTAAGTGCTTATTACACCACTGATGTGCAACACCCAAACTTCCTCTACTCAGTTCTTTTTTATTGTTTATTGAACAGGCAGAACTCCCACATTGCAACATTTAAATGAATCATTTAGTTTCTTTTTTAGTTTGCTGTTTCAGGGCATAATGCCTTGAAATTCTCTTTCTCTTCAGAAAGAGAAAAATGCCCTTTCCTGTCTAAAGTTGCATAGGATTGCGATCTTAAGAGTTACTGTATATGTTTTCTTCAATGGTAGGCATGTCATGAACGGAGCGGTCTAGAGCCAGGGGTCAGACTAGATGGTCCAGGAGGCCCTTTCTGACTCACTGTTTCTATGTTTCCTTCAGCCACAACCATCTGTGTGCACATACTAGATTTTTAAAAAACCAAGTACACGTCCATTTGAATGACAACTCAATTAGAAATATTTCAATCTAAATAAAAGATTTTTTCTTTGCTTATTTGGCAACCTTGGGGCTTTAGAAACAACATCTCCTGAATATTTTCCTCAGTTACTCAGACTTGAGGTGACTGCGTTACTGCGCTCTTTTGCCTTGTAAGACATGGTTACATAAGTGGCTGGATGCTAGGCAATTTCCAGCAGTAAAGCATATCACATGAAACCCTGGCAATATCAGTGTGGAAGACCTTGCTGAGAAATCAATGTTGCAAGCATTTGTCTCGCACTTGGTGAAGCCAAAAACCAACAAATCCTCGGAAAGGAAGGGAGTTTTAAAACTTTCAATAGCTGAATGCATCTCTGGAGTTAAACTTTACTTGGCCTGTTACTGGCATTGCACAAAGCAGATCTGGAACATGCCCACATTACCCAGAAATGCACTTCCATTGCAGAAAGATTTCTCCACTTAACTCCTATGCAAATGTACTTCTGGGGAATTCTGGGAAAGCCTCAGCAGCTGAACTGTGGCATCTCAGCAGCCAGGCAAGATGGGTGAGTAGAGAATAGGCTGGGGAAGGGTGGGCAGAGGTCTTCTGTGTCCAAGCAAGGCTATTTATAAGCCAGGGTTTACGCACAGGTTCATAATGAAGTCAAATCGGACATTAGATCCCATTCATGAAAAACCACTGGGTGGTTTTCAGTGCATCTTGGAGGGCTCTGAGATACACTGGAAGCTAGTGTGCCACAATGCAATTAGTGGTGAGGGCATAGAGCACAATTAAACTGCTCCCGCAATGTGCAACTGTGGGGGGAGGTCTCTAAGGCAGGAGTGGACCCCCTCAGTCCATGGCTTCACGCCTGGTACTCCAGGGCTTCCCCAGATGGCAACCCTCCCTTCCCCTTTCTCCCAAATAGTGTCCCATCTTTGGTGAAGCGTTTTCCTGTTATATTTTTCAATGAAAACACACTGGCATTTTTGGCACACCACTGGGATGTGATCCTCAAGCATTTCTCCAACACTGAACTCAACCCTCAGGCAGAAGAATTTGCTTCTGCTCTGAGTTAGTCACAGGAGGCAACACTATGGCTCAAGAGATGTCCCACACGGACTGCGTAAGGTTCCTGAAATGCTACCCAGAATCCTCTCTAACACACAGGGTTTCCAGGGCAAACACACAGGGGTCCTTAATCCACAAGTCAAATGTGGAAAGTTTCCTGAAGCCAGAAACTTTGAAAATCACAGTGTTAGACAGCCTAAGCCTGTACATCAGTCTTTTCCCAATCCTTCCCTTGCACATTTTAATTATAATTACTTCAAGATCACACAAGCAAACTGCAATTGGAAATCAAAGATGTATAAATAAATTGCAAGGATGTAGAAAGTCATGCAACACGTAAGCCGCATTGTGTACCCACTCATGCGCACACATGCACACGCGCGGACACAATTTGGGAGCAATTAAGTTCCTTGAGACCAGGAGGTCTGGTCAGGCAGGATTGCTGTTAACAAAAGATTGAGTCATTTCTGAATACAGACCAGACCTGAAAAATCTTGCTGACTTTGCTTTATTTCACGTATGCTTTGGTCAAATAAGAAAATCATTTTCAGACACAGACACACCCCAGCATAAGAAATTTGTCTGGCTTCATCTCTAGGGTGCCCCTGCACTTTCTTTTGCTCCCTTCCCCAGAATGTGTTAACATGAGTTAATCTGGGAAAACCAGAAATCCTGCTCTCTGATCAAGGCTTCTGGAAGTGGAGACTCACCATTCAGCTGATGGCTGGTAGCCAGGCGACTTGGCTTAAGAATGAACTGGCACTGAAGCTCCCGGGGCAGCTGTTCCATCAGGAAGGCCCCCTGAAGATCCAGAGGGCCGATGGAGTCCTTTGATCCTTGAGTTGGCGGCAAAGTGTCACGAATGTGGCTCATTTTAATGCCGAACGGATATTCATGTCCTGCTCAGAGAAAGAGGAAGGAAATTTAATTTGAACTATGTGAAGATCAGGCAACCAAAGAGGAGATACAGGGGATGTTGCAATGATATTTATTCTCTCGAAGTGGATTTGAGTCATTTAAATAAATGTTTCCTATTCACTTCATTTACACTGTGCTCTCTCTTTCCAAATTTATCCCAGCACAGCCCATTTCTTTTGATAAGCCTCAATAATGCTTCTTCCTCACTTCCTAAAACTATAACTAGCTACTTCACACTCAGGTTTTAAAAATCCCCTAAAAACCGTGTCCAATTTCAGACTGTAAGTCAAAAGATTGGAGTAGAACCTTGCACAAGAACCTACGGATGTGCTGTGCATACTAACAGGACTTGCTGCTTACAGGCATAAGCCATCCAAAATAAAGTATTTTTAAGACTAACTGATTTCATTGTCCACTGTTATCTGCCACAACAACTACGACATGGGGCAAACCTAACATACTTTGTGGAAGTTGGGGAAGTTATTTTCATGTGCTAGCCCTTGTTTATATTTTAAATGATGTTTAGGAAACAGAAACAATAAGGAGATTTCTGCATTTATAGCCTGAGCTTTGCAAAATAACTGCTGGAGCCCTCCTGAAAAACTACCACTTCCTTTCCTTGCCTTGATAAACAAGGGGATTGCCTAAAAAACCTAAATCAGTGCATAAGTTTGCAATGGAAACATTTACACTGGTTTAAGGAGGTGAACTCTATGACCTGCAACTAAGAATCGTATGTCTGAATTTGCTTTCTTCCTTCTCCCTCCCTATCCCCTTTCCTTTTGTGTCACATCTCTTAGATTGTAAGCCTGTAGAGAGGGACTCTCATTTTTCTTATCCTTGCAAGCCATTCTGGCAGCCTTTCATGCTAAAGGACAGGATAAAACAATTATTTATACATGAAAAATATTCCCAACTTGGGAACATACAGCAAGCCTGGTCATTTTCAGTACCAGTTTGAGATGTGCTTACGCTGAACCAGTTGCCTGTGCAGACTGCAGTGTTTCAAGAAAGGGGTACAGACAAGGAATCACAACATTCCAAGGTACACGTCAGCACTGAGTTCTACATCCTTTCACCCATCCTGACTGATGTGGAACTATGTAAATATTTGGCCCTGAGAAAAAGAAAGTAAAGTGAGCCCCTGGGGGTGGGGGTGGATCCCAGAGATTCCCACTTCCTCTAAACTTTCCTCATGAGTAACCTGTTCAAAGTCAGAGATGGGTTGACTTCAGGTTGTTCATAGTTCAATCTTTTTTAAACTGGAACCCCTAGATCCAATAGAATCAGGTTTAAACACACACAGACACACAAAATTCAAGAATAAAGTCCCTTTGAGCACATTGATCCTAGTTTATTTTCAGCATCTCTCACTCTTGGTACACTCAAGCTGTCTCCATGTCAGCAGCCTAATTTAAATGGAGAAAGTTGTGCTGCTATGGTTGTGGTCAGAAACTGCAAATCATTAAGAGATCTACCAGTAAATCTCCATCTTCCTTCGCTGTAAGACTGTTCTAAACCATTAACTAACCACTGCTGAATTTCCTCCAATACATCCAGCTCAAGCTGTAACATATACTCAGCCTCCCCTCTAACAAGTGACACAGAGATCAGCATAGGAAAATTCACAGTCGTGGCTTATAAAAGTTGTTCTTAGTGGCATGGATAGGGGGGAGGGCAGTCCTCCAAAATGTTCCTGATCCACAGGGAAAATGTTAATAGCCATGGTACTAAAGTGGAGCCTCCATGTGGAACGGCAGCATGCCATAGCTGCAGGGAGATGCTGGGAACAGCAGGCTGAGATATCTGAAGGACACCAGGCTGGGGGAGGCTGCAGGATACAGATAAGGGATGGGTGTGAGCCTGCTTCAGAGCATCCGGAAGCATTTGACTGACCACCACTGGAGGCAGAGTTCTGGGTGGCACAGACATTTGGTCTGAACCAGAGAAGTATTTTATCATTTATTTATGTATTCATTTGCTACACTGCTTAATAGCCGAAAGTCTGGGTGGTTTACAACAGTACATTAAAAATACAGAATAAAATGTACTATATTAAAACATCATAAAAACCTTACAATTCATCATTTAATGTCTGCATTACAAGTGCATTTGCAATTGCAACAAATAGGCACATACTGACCATCACGGAAAAAGGTAATGCAGAATTAATTCAAAGAGCCCACAACATGCCTATTCATTTCAATGAAATTTTGCAGAGGAATAAGCATTTCATGTACTAGGAAGCTATAAAGCTTAAAATTTGTTTGTGGGTGTAAAGGCAGTCAAAGAACAAAGCTGAACCAAGCAGGGTCACCATTTGCCTTCTGATGCACATCTGTACCACTCCCACAGCAATCCAATAGAGCTGGAATGGGGTCCTTGGCACCCTTCACTAAGCGCCTGGGAGAATATCACGAGGAGCATCTCTTTAGTGTCTGGAATAATTTCAGTAAGAAGAGATGATGTTCAGTGCTTGCAGGGGAGGACACTTTGTGAACCCAAAGTCCTTCCATCTGTGTGTCTTGCTGATACAAAACCTTGCAAACAGTTATAGGAATAAGATTATATGAGGGAAGTTTAAATTAAAAGCCAATGTGGAGGATGGAGGTCAGAATTTTTCTACAAAAATGCCTGAATGTTTATTTACTGGTCATATTATTTGGAGAGTCATTATGTGTTTGCAATTCTAACAGCTTTGAGAATAAATGTTTGAATTTTATTGGCCCGTTATTAGTGAATTATAGGCAGGAAACCCCCTATAGAATCTATGATTCAGCCAGTATTTGGGGCATTAAAAAGTTACCCATCCAGGTTGTGAAAAGCAACAGGCCCAGTCTTTGTATCTAAATCAGTTCCTATCTTCAGCACCAAGAGAACTAGTCACTCTTCCGAATGGCTGCTAGCAGGCTTTACTGAGTTACACTACACTGATTCTTAAAAATGTTTCCTATTTAAAATTCCAAATGGAAGAGACTATCACCATTACACATTCATCTACAGCCCCACAGCTCAGCTTAATATAACCAGCTGAATATGGCAAAAATCTCAATGTCATCAAAACAAAGCAAAGTAAGTACAACAGAAGTCCATGTTTACCAATTTTGGGTGTTTTTTAAATGAAAGCTTTTTTTCCCCCAAGAGTGCCTGCTGGACTATTCCATAAGTGCAAAGTTTGAAAAAAATGGAAGCATTCAATTCAATGTAGCTAAAATGCTTACTTTTCCCTTTTCTGGTTTTATTTTGCTGAAATGCTTAATTTTTTAAAAAGGTTTGATGGATGAATGCATTGGCAGTAGCTGCTTCTCAGGTACAGGTTCTAGTCCCCACTTGGCCATGGAGCCAACTGGGTGACTTTGGGCCAGTCACAGTCTCTCAGCCCAACCTACCTCACAGGGTTGTTGTTGTGGGGATAAGCTTGACAGCAGGAGACTAATGTAAGCCACTTTAAGTTCTTTAAAAAAGAAAAAAGGTGTAATAGAAATATAATAAATCAATTTGTAAGTTGGGCATTTTGTGGGAGAGGCTGGAGAGGCCACGGGGTAGTTCATGTCCTGGCCTCTCCTGCCTCGTTCCCTCTCCTTTACCAAAACACACCTTTTGACTCCTTTCTGAGTTCATTTTCCTGACCTCATAAGGCAGCTGGTTGTTTCTTTCCATGTTGGCTGTGAAGAAAAGGTTCTTCAATTTTGCCATCCAAAGAGTGCTGCTTCCATCCTTGGATCAGGAAATTCAAACTATCCTATGGCCCCTAGACAGTGGGATCATAGGATTGCTTCCTCTACAGTACAAGAAGTATCTAGATAGATTCATGCTCCTTTCCATCCACTTTGTCTCGCAACAACACTCAGTACATTAGGGTGCAAGTCCATGACTGGCCCAAAGTCTTCCAGGAAGCTTCGTAACTGAGTAGGGACTTAAACGGAGATCTCCCCAGTCCAGTAGTGGTTTTTTAGATATGCATGCTTTCATTATTTTTTAGCTGTTTCAACCTGCCCTGAATCCTTGGAAATGCAGAGGACAGAAACAGAAAGAATCAACATACATGAGAATACACTTTTCAAGAGCTTACCAATAAGGGGATATGGGGCATCTTCTTTCCCAGAATTCACCCACAGCTGATAGTCCTTTTCGGTGCCCTTTAAAAACATAAAACCCTGTTAGTATGAAACTGAAAAACTGTACTAAAAAGTCTATGCTTTGCTATAGCTGTAGAATCAAAGAATTATAGAACTGCAGACCTGGAAGGGGCCAAGAAAGCCACCAAGTCCAACCCCCTTCTCATTACAGGACTCCGAGTTAAACCATCCCTCTCAGATGGTTGTCCAGCTGCATCTTGAATGCCTCTAGAGTGGGAGAGCCCACGACCACCCAGGGTAATTGGTTCTGTTATAATACTGCTCTAACAGTATGGAAGTTCTTCCTGATGTTCAGCTGGGATCTGATTTCCTGAGTCCATTATTCCATGTCCTGCACTCTGTCACAGACCTCAGGGGAGACCAGATACTTTTAATGGGACTCAAACAACAAACTGCCTAATGTTTTATGTTATCAGCACAGTTTTACAATAGGAGGCCAAATACAGCTTTCTGTAGGCAGGTTGAATGTGATGTCAGAGCTTGATTTGACATGAGAACCAGAGATTTATAGACAGGGCTGAATCCAGGAGCTGCTTCCACACACAGAACCCTACAGATCACAGTGATGTGGCATGATCCATGGCACGTCTTTCATTTTGCATTGTAATTCTATTGGATTTCATATGTCTAACAAATACTTTTTGCAGTCATTTTGCACCTGGCTGGGATACAAGTCAGCAAGACCATTTTTCCAATAATATCTTCAGACCGATGTGCTGTCCAACAGATCATGGCATGGCAGACCAAAAGCAGAGGGTAACTTATGTACTATTGTATTTCATTATGTACTATTGTATTTCAATGTATTTTATCATGTTGTAAGCCGCCCCGAGGTTTCGGCAAGGGGCGGCATAGAAATGTTATAATAATAATAATAATAACAACAACAACAACAACAACAACAACAACAACTATTAGTGGGGAATCATCGGGATGGCAGCCAGTGATGAACAGGGTCCCCCAGGGCTCTGTTCTGGGACCAGTCCTGTTCAATCTTTTCATTAATGATCTGGAAGAGGAGGAGACCAGTCTGCTGATCAGATTTGCAGACGATACTAAAATAGGAGCGATGGCCACAACCATCCTGGGCTTCCTACCAAGCATCAGGTAATTTGGCACTAGGGGAGAGAGAGATTGAGGGATTTGTACTGGGGCTGGGAGTCTGGGCGACTACCTGGGCTCCGCTCCCTGGACACTGGTCTGTTGTCACAGCTGTGAGTCCATGTTCCTGGCAAGCACACCCAGTGTTTGTGCCCACCAGGAACTGAGCCTGTGCAACTGCTGCACAAGTATAATCTCTCTTCCACATCACATGCAGCAGCCTTTGTTTGTGCTGAACATGATGCTAAAGAAAGCTGCTGGTTGCACAAACATCATTTTGCAAGTGTTCATGAACTTCCTCTCAGCTGAATTAACCTTCTAAGACTGGGCCAAGCATGAGAGGATGGCCGTGATCGCTAGTGGGATGGATTCCACAGAGCTTCATCACAGCACACTGCAGACATACATCTAGTTATCAAAAGTGTATTAGAAACAAAAGGAGACATCCAAGCTCACATTAATTCCAAGCTGCTGCAGGGCCATGAGTGTCACATCATTTGCTGTATCCCTGTTGGTTATGGTTAAAGTTTTCGACTGTTGAGAAAGGAAAAGAGACAGAAGGAGGCATTAGTGCTAGAATAACAGAATTCTAAAAAATAATCAATACAGTATGAAATTTTGCAGTTATCCACACAAGGTTATTAATCTGCTGTGCCTACTTTTAGTTTTGTTGCAGAATTATGATCCAAGCATTTCATGAGCTGTGCTTCCTTTCTTGCTTTTCCAATACATAACTCTAGGTGGCACTGTGGTATAACAGAATGGTGCAAATACACAAGCGGAAGTTGCACTTTCAATTGCTTTCACAATTAAATGCTTGCTTTTCCCTGCTCTAAAATAAAATTTGTATAGGAAAGCCTTTTACAGGACAGTACAAGCCAAAACTGTCAGTTGGAACTTGTAATGTATTGTTTGCAGCTACTTTCTAGCCGACATGGGAAGATGTACTACAGAAGCATGGAGAATAGGTCTGCTCGTGATATATTAGCATATTTTTCTCTTCCTTAGTATGTTTTTACATAACAACAAGAGTCATATGATACAGTGTCTAGATATGTGCATTATTTGTGTAAGCCATAAGAATGACATGCACAGGCTCTTCGGTCTTATGCCTTGTTTGCCCTACAAACCCAGGAGTACAGAAGTATTTGCTTTCACTTTCCCTAAACTGTGCCATGTTGTGTCATCTGATGCCAAGTGTGATTAACATCACCCATGGTACATTTCCAACAAGCCAAGTTTAATCCATAGTTTCTGAAGTTAGCTTGTAGAAATAAGCCAAAACTAGTGTCAAACATAGTTCTTGGATTTACATGGGAAGCTGTGGTTATCTAAAAGCACTTCTAAAGTCCTCTTCTCAACCATCTGAGTGCAAGGCCAAAGCTCAGCATGGTTTGTGCAGTTTGCAGCATGTTTCCCTAGGAGCTGATTATCCCCCAAATGCATCTCCCTCCCATCAGTGCAAAAACTGAACTAAGAACACTTAAGAGGGCTATCATGCTGACAGCTCCCACAGGAGAGTTGTGCCCTCCCCTCCCCATGCTTTGAAATAAATTTAAATCAAAAATTCCTTTTCAGCACTGTACAGAACTGGATCTTATAAATTATCCTAAAAATCAGAAATACTTTCTCCAGGATTGTCACTAACATCTTCCTAGCATTGACAGGTCACTTGTGAAGAAGCACACTGCAATCAAATTTTAACTGCTTAGGAATGGTATTATATTCAAGAGGTATATAAATATATAAACATAAGTATTACATTCAGACTTCCACATTTTAGTCTGATGATCATTTTGCCCAGTTTGACTACATATAATAAATTCCAAATATATATTTAAAGTTGGCCACAGAACATCTAGGTTGCAGTTTACCCTCTGTAAAATATCCTTCTGCCTGAGCTACTAAAAATTATAAGCTACCAAGGAAACTGAAGTGAAGGATTACAAATGCAAATCTATTTTTGCCTAAGGATATAGTTGAATGATCATAATATAAACAAAAAATTAACATTTCCCCAAAGCAATGACATCTGGCACCCAGGAGTAGGTCAGCATATTTGCATAAGGCTCGCCTTTGGCTAGCATCACATTAAATAATTTGTGTTGCATATGCCTCCTCCCTCCCCAACCCCACGTCTCGCATAAAATGAAACAATTCCCCAAGAACTCCAGCTGCTCTAGCAGAAAAGGAAGAAGAAATCCATAGAATACATTCTGATTTTTAGGATGCTTCCATCTGCCATTACGCTGCCTTGTCGGTGATACTTCTGGCACCAATACACTGGACTTCAAGGATGAGCAGTTCTGTGGACCCAAATGACTCAGCTGAAGGTTCTAAACTTCTGTGCATTTTATGTGCATATATAACTTTACAGATTTGGTTTAGTCTGACTCAGACTAGCACTAAAGCCCTTTGTTTGGTGAACAAGTCTATTAATGGCTGTTAGTCATGGTATCTAAATGGAACTTCCATGTACTGGTATAGTTCTAAAACCCAGGATGCGGGCCAGACTAAGAGAGATGGTTATTGTCTTCAAACACTGGCTGAGGATTTTCAAGATACATCAAGCTGGCCACTGCTGGCAGAGGATGCAAAAACTTATTTCTTTAAAACAGCATCCTCCAGTGCTAATCCACATTAATTTATTAAGTAGTTACATGGATATGTGTTCTGATACAGCAGGGCTACTCACTTTAAAGAAGAATGCAGTTGCATTCCAGCAATTAAAGGGAAATAAGTTTTATTTAAAAATGTACACACCAGTACAAGCTGCTTTTGCGGCAGCTTTCCCACAATGCAAAAATGCACCAAATGCATGCGGGCAGCTGTCTGGTGATCATTCCATGGGATCTGCAGGCAACTGCACGGGCCTCACAAGTCTGCATTATCCAGCACTGCTGGTATGCTTCAAGTCACACCCTGCCCCACAATAAAGCTCCTTGTAACTTGCATGGCTAGCTAGCAGAAATATGATTACCACAGGTTTCCTTTTAATACTTCTTAATGATGAGAAATATTGGCTCAATTCCTAAATGGGGTTGAGGGGTGTAAAAATAAGGAGGGATTCATGAGCCAACGGCATACCTAAGGTTAGATGAGGTCAAAGGAAATCCCAGTCCATTGAACTGGGTCAAAGAGAAAAAGCTGGGCAAGCAGGAAACCCAAAGTCGCAGAAGAAATCATGTAGAAAATGGTACTTTCCCAGCAAGGCCCAAGGTAGGATGAAGAACTCTCAGGGGCTATCAGGGTTCCTATATGCAGGTTTCCAACAGCAGGCAGCTCAAGGGCAACAGGATGCCTGGTCTACTTAATTTGGCCAGTCTAACAGTAGTTTATGGGAGTATCTTTTATTGCATTTCACAAGATAAGCTTAGAATGAATAATAATATATTGTTGTTTAGTTGCTAAGTCTTGTTTGACCCTTCACAACCCCATGGACAACATTCCTCCAGGCTCTCCTGTCCTCCACCATCCCTCGGAGTCCACCCAAGCTCACCCAAGTCCTCCCCAGTGACCCCATCTAGCCATCTCAACCTCTGCTGTCCGCTTCTCCTTTTGCCTTCAATTGTTCCCAGCATTAGGGGAACATTAGTGACTCCTTCCTTCTCAATAGGTGGCCAAAATAGTTAGTTTCATCTTCAATATCTGACTTTTTAAAGAACAATCAGGGTTGACTTCCTTTAAGATTGTCTAATTTGATTTCTTTGCAGTCTAAGGGACACTCAGGATTCTTCTTCAGGGCCACAATTCAAAGGCATCAATTCTTTGGCACTCAGCCTTCCTTATGATCCAACTTTTACAGGCATACATTACAACTGGGACAAACATAGCTTTGACTATACAAACTTTTGTTGGCAGGGTGATGTCTTTGCATTTTAGCATGCTGTCTAAAATTATAACATATAAGAATTGCTAATTTGTTGACCACTGCAGGGTACTTCTAACCACTTTTTAACCATTTTTGCTGAAAAACAGTTTTTCTTTAAATACTATGGTGAGAATTTTAAGTTCTTTATTACCGTACTGGTTCCCACAAAGACGAGAAAGTAAAATGAAGAGAACTGGAAATAAAAGCACCCTCATATACACACATAATGGAGCTTTCCCTTCCTATTCCTTAATGTAGTTGTGAGGAGGCAATCAGAACCATCAGTTTTGAAAATTAACACAAATTTCCCATTACACCAAACTCAGGGATGAAATGGTTATGGTTAGTTTAAACCATGATTTCATGTTGGGTTGTTTGAGCTAACCTGAGATTAAACCAGCATTTCCCTAAATGCAGATGTAAAGCACATCTGATTACCACCTCATGACCATACTAGGCAAGCAAAAAGTGGGGAGAAGGTATGCAAGTCCAGGGCTTATTCATGCAACACTAAACCACAGGTTACTGTAACATCCAGAAGGTGTCAAAACAACAGAGAAACAGTGTCTCTGTTAATGATCAAGGGTTAATGATTTTCTAAACAAATACTTAAGCTTGCAAATCATATGACATTCAAATTTTTCACACCTGCTTGTCAAAGAAGACGATTAACCACTGTACTTATCTACTCAAACTGTGGCTTAGGAATACTTACATATGCACAGTTACCAATATCCTTTGCAATAATCTTCAGGGGAATGCTCTTGGGATAGTCCTTTGCTTTCTCATCTCTGATTCGACTGTCAAAGCAAGGAGAAATATAATTTTATTTTATTATGTATTTTAAAAAACAGAACAACAGGGACAGTGTACTATGCTGATTCACTGTATGCAATAAAAACTAACTCAAGAGCTCTGCCAAAACAAAGGTAGCTTAGGTATTTAAAGAAGTTATGTTTAAAGACACCTTTTTAAAAATGAGACTTTTTTTCCTCTTGCATAGCTGAATCTTGAATTTGCTAAATTCAGTCAAGGTTTGCTCTAATTCAGCTAGGCATGCAAGAAATGTCAGTCTCTTTAATCTGGTTTTACAGAATTAATTTTCTGGAGACACCAAATTAAGCACACTTTGAGTAGACAAATTACAAGAAACAATCCTAGGTTTGATATAAATTAAACATAGCATAGATAATACAATAAAACAAAAGTACCTTTGAAGGGAAGCAAGCCACTTCTCTTTCTGCTCGATGGAACTGAAAATATTAAAAATAAGTTTGAAAGGATAACAATAAGAGTACCTGTATCGATATTTGCAGAATATAAGCCAACTTTAGACAATTTTTAGAAAGAATCACCTCGATGAGAGCGAAGCAAAAGCAATGTGAACATGCAGATTTTCTGAAACTCTGAAGAAACTGGCAAAATCACTAAGGTCCGATAAATGCAACAAGGAAAAGCAAAGAGGTAAATGCAGGTGCTATTCCTGAAACCTCTTCTAGTTGTTGTAATAATTCTGGCTTCGCTTGCTTGAAATGAGATTTCCCTAGCCTGGGGCAAAGGATTTTGCAATGCTCCTATCACGGAATTCTTTGTCCTATCAAGTGCAGTTGACACCCTTACTATTTTTTAATGTATGCAGCAAATAATGTTTTATGTTTTGGTCTACATTGCTGATCATGTCCTTATTTATGCATTCATTATTTATATCTGGCCTTTTTATTTCCATAAAACGCAAAGCAGCTTACATACTTACTCCCTCCTCTCCACTGGTACCCTGAGCTTCATGGCCGAGTGGCAACTAGAACCCAGACCTCTCCAGCCCTAGTCCAATGTTCTAACCACCACACTTGCTCGCCTTGGTTGTTGTTGTTTTCTACATTATTATTTTGCTTTTGTTTTTTTAAAAATTGGAACTTTAAAATACTGTTTTGTGTGGTGGTTTAGCAGCAGAAGGATGTGTATTTTTAATCTAATCCCATCCAACAAATCAAATCATACCTTCTACTGAAGGTACTTTCTACTGAAATGGCAATGCAAACTAGACAAGTAATCAGGAAGCAGAGTACAGAGTACTTATTTAGAAGAAGCAGTACCCATCCCTCCAGCCAAGTTAACAAAGAAACCAAGAGGTAGGCTAGTCCAGCTGACAAATATTACCAATGGCCATGACCTTGGGAAAATGCCCATCAGTTCTTTTATCTCTTCCCTTTGTGTCCCCATCTCTCAGAGAGAATTTCAAAGGCCCTCATGAAGTCAAAGAGGATATTTAGTGAAATGGAAGTTGCTTCCACAGCATGCCTTTCATAAATATTTGGATGTTCTTTTAATCTATTCACTTACTACATTCTTGTGTAATTAAATACTCCAGAGCAACCCTTGTAAAGTTCTTCATGTGTCCTCTTTACCTCCCAGCCTGAATGGTGCAGCTTACATAAAATCAGAAATTCCGTTTTGACAGAGATGACCATGGTTCTAAAGTCAGACTGCTTGAGAGTCAACAAGAGACAGTGGCTATGCATACGCATCATGCAAAGCTACCCTGCAAATAAGCCATGCAATGTGAGTTGCCTGCAGAACGACACAAGTCTGTGCAACAATTGGGCTCACAATCGCTTAGCTAAAGAGCACTTTAATTGGTGTAATTTGCAGCACCCAGTTTCCACAGATCCTCTCTATAACCACATCCCTTTGTCTCCACGGGTCCCTCAAAACCCAGGACTAGTTTTTATGGGGACAAGATGCTTAAATGGCTAGAGAGGCAGCAGTAAAAAGCAGGTGTTCCAACTTGTATGAATGTGTTGCTTTCCACTAAGGCAAAGCCACTGCCAGATACAAGCAATGGCTCACTCTTGAAGCTGACGTATTAGGATAAAAGGCACTCTCATACCTGAAACTAGCAACACAGTTGGTTGTGGGCCACCCTAAAACGAAAGACCTTTCCAGGTTAGTGCTGCCTTCGCAGACCTCTTCCATACAAGATGCTGTCCACATCTCAGAGAGACGTGCCTGGCTCTTCAGCTTGAAATGTAACTGGGACCTTTAGTTAAAAGAAAGCCTGTTATCATCCATCCCTGACAGCAGGGGATTCAAAATAAATGCAAAATGAGCAAAATTTCACATTGACTCAAATCCATAGAACAGTTAACCCTGCCCTTGCTGTGAATGGGTGCTGCTACTGCTCTGGGCCTGAAGGCAGGAAGCCCAAACTAACAGATGGATTATCAGCTTCAAAAGTCTGTGTTTGCTGGACCAGACCAATTTCTCCAGGCAAAAAGAATCTTTACCAAATGTTGTAATCTAAGGAAGATGGTGAATCAGACAGCTTCTGTACATCAAGTGTGAAAATTGAGATAATCTCAAAGAGGTAACAAAAAAATCATAATTTAATGATAAGTACCTGGAAGTATGTGGATGGAACAAGTTGTGTTGAGCATCTGGAAACCCATTACTCATCATAATAAACATATTCATCGTTTATTACCGCTTTCTTTATTTCTGTTGGTAATCGTTGTTGCTCTCATGTGCTGTCATTTCTGACTTTATGGAGACCCCAAAATACCCACAACAGCCCCACTCTTTTAAGTTCAAGGCTGTGGCTTCCTTTATGGATTCAATTCATCTTAGATTTGGTTGTCCTTTGCCTTCAACTTTCCCCTGCAATGCTTTCTTCACTGGTTTTTGTCTCTCCCTCTCAAATCTGGCTTATTTTCACTGTTATGTGCTGTCAAGTCATCTCCAACTTATAGCAACCCTTTGAATGAATACCCTCCAGAATGTCCTGCCCTGGACAGCCCTGCTCAGCTCTTGTAAACTCTGCTTTACTTGAGAGTGGTTTTAGGTTCTTTTTATATTTTGTTAAGACATTCTGATAGGGGAAAATGGGATAATTCTTCAAAATAAAACTAACATTAATCCAAAAAAATTGAAGTGCAATGTTGTTTTTAACTTTTACAGTGCAACCCCAGAGTAAAAAACGTCCAGTGTTCTACCTTAAAATTCATCATGTCCATTACATTATTGGAAGACCTGCTCTAAGACATCCTCAGTTTGAAGAGATGGAAAACTGAGACAGACACTTTTCTAACAGTGGTGCTGTATCCTGGGAACCCTCCTTCCAGTAGGAACTTAGGCCCTATGGTTATCTAGGTGGCAGATGAAGCCTGATTTATTTTCCCCAGCTTATATTTGATTTAGTTTCTTGCTGTTTCTCAGAGCTATATTTAATGACCGTCACCATTCTATTTTTATTTCTTTTTGCTCAATCATTGTCTTCAATTTTTGTTTTATGGAATTATTTTAGTATTGCAAACTGGTTGTGCAGGTCTTACTGAATTGCAGATTCCCAGGTTGCCATCGTCCTTAGAGCAGAAGCAGTTTACAGAAAGCCTTGAACATTCAGTGAAGATTCAAATGTGAACAGCTCCTTCAGGACTGAACTATTTGGCCTATGCGGCTGTTACTTGACCCCCTGGATTCAACTGGGACAAATCCAACTACAGACCTGAAATTTCTACACTCCTGCTACTCTTAGCACAAGGAGTGATAACTGATCTTTATCACAGGAGATACTATATTCCAACAAATGTGGTATCCCTCAGTGTACTCATTACTTTTTCTACTGAGATGCACATTTTATTTCTTAAAAAATATAGAAGTTGCTGTTTGGCTCAAATAAGGTCCCCAAGGTGTCTTATAAGACAAACTATGAAACAGAGTGCAGAACAAATGAATTTAAGATAGTTAAATGTATTTGTGGATGAATATTTGTCATACTGTATTGTTTTCAGATTATGTTTTATGCATATATTTTTATTTGTACTGTTGTGCTGATGAAGGTTAATATTGATTTTGGGTCAATATTATATCATTATAATATAATATTATATTATATCCCCCATTATATTAATTATGGATTCCTGTTGTGTGTTCAGGTGACTTCAGGACTGCTTTTTGCAGCGGGAAACTACATGTAAATATAATAAAATAAGTAGAATGCTTGTAAAGCAGGAGAAAACATTTTATCATCCTGGCTAAAACTCAGTTTAAAGCTGAGCTTAAATCTTAACATAGTTCTGGCTCCCAATCACACATCTGGTAAAATCTCAAGGGCCAAGTCAGGACTGACCATGTATTTACAAAAGTGGATAGTACGATAGCCCTTCTTCAGAAGTAGTCTAATGTGAATCACAAGCATAGCGTAAGCACATCCAGTTATTTAGATCTCAAATGTGAAAGCATTTGACCCTTATGGATTTCAAAGGACTGACCTACATTTCTGATGCTCCGATTTTTCCAAAGCTTTTAACATTTAGTCTGATAACAGCTGTGACTGGATGCTGTGCAGCAGAGGAACTGGCGCCAATCCAAATATCCACAGATATAAACATTACTCTGGACACAGCTCATCAGGAACTGTCTCCTGCATAAACCCCACCAAAATTAATAGTAGTGCGATCACGGCTCATTCTCACCGCACGATTCCCAGGAGTGCCTACAGGGTGTGCCTAGGCATTCCAGCCTTTCCATGTTAACTGTTACTTCTGCCAGCCCTACTTCTTTGACTACTATCATATCTCCTGCAGCTGGCTCAGCACATGAGTTTCAAATTGGATACCGGGAGGCATTCTCAAGACAAAAATGCGATGCAGGAGAATTTCATGCTTCTCTCACTATGTGGCTGATACAGAACACACACTAACTTCGCCACATACCCTTGTTACTGTAACAACGGTGAGGCAAAGTAGAACCTCAGAACTACATGTGGCCAATGGGATTTACAAGGCAGTGGCATTGACAAAGTCCATCTGATCCCCAAGGGAGGGTGGAAATCGGACAGGGTTTATTTTCTCTCATGGGGGAACATCTCTTTTCAGGTTGCAAATTGAAACAAAAATGGAGCCCACACACCCAAAGATTTGTTATGGTCTGTAGCGCTAACAGTGCCATTCAGTGTGGCTCCCATAACCCTCCAAATATTGAGGGTTACAAGCATACTATCAAGGATGGAAGGAGGGCAGAGGCAAAGGTATTTTTCCACACTGGGAAGCATTCAGGAGGCAGTCGGACAGCCATCTTGATAGATGCTTTAACTTGGAGTCCTGCATTGAGCAGGAGTTAGACTAAATGGCCTCATAGGTCCCTTTACACTCTATTATTCTAGGTTTCTGTTCTTGTTGTTACATCGCATTTACATTCTGCCCTGTTCCTCTTGACAGGAACCAAAGGCAGTCTGCATAGCTCCATTTTATCCTCACAATGACCACTCTGTGAGGTGCAAGAGGAATTCCACTCCTATCCCTGTAGAACCCCCTTCTCAACACTACATTTCAGATTGGTCTGTCATCCTTGGACTGCAACTGGGATGGAAAGAATTGCGGTACCTGCAACAGTAGAGGGAGGGCGCTCCAGGGTTGAAGTTCCAGCTATAATCTCAGAATGCGTTCCTGGGATCGAAGGTAGAATGCCAACCTTCCCTTTGGCTCTGCGGACAGTAGCCACAGGATTGTGTCCTAGGTTAACTAAATAGTATCAGTGTCACCTGATCATGATTATGATTGTTTCTGTACTACCTTTTTGTTAAAAGTCATCAAGGTAGAGCAGATAGCATCAGTTAATAAAACCGTAAGAACACAGAAGCAATAAAACCCTTTTAAAATATCAAAACAATAAAACACCAACTGGATGATGAGGATGATGATGATGATGATGGAGGGGGAGGAAGAAGAGGAGGAGGGGGTGGTGGCTCAGAAGTAAATCTTATTGGCTTCAATGAGGTTTACTTCCAGGCACTGTAAATGGGTATAAGATTGCAGGCTAAAAGTAGTCTGAAAAGTCTGTTCAGAGGGATGTGACTTGACACCTTTTCTACAAACTGAGCCAGTCAGAACTAATAATAACTCTGAAACAGATGGGTGTAATTCAGGGACACAGCAGGTGCTTTGAATGCAGGGCTAGGAAAGAAACCTCAGAGAGCCACTTCCAGTCAGTGTTGGCCATAAAGGGCTAAATGGACCAGTGTAAGGCAGCTTCCAATGAGGACATCCTATTGTTTGGGAGTTATGCAGGAGAAGGTATTTTCTCATTTGCTTGGCAAGTGGGTTTCTGAAAGTAAGGTATCCCCAAAATACCCTCCCCTACAGATCTTTATATCTAAATAGCAAGACAGGAAATTCCTTAGACAGCATGACTGTCTGGGGAGTGTTGAGACTTACAGGATTTTTTTTCATGCTTGAACATGCATACTATTGCATTCTTAGAACTTAAAGGTGAAGACCAACACCATGAATTAAGCCCAGAAAAAAACTGGCAACCAGTGGTGTTTTTTCAATCAATGTGTTGTAAGTTCTTTACAGATACCAGCTAGCAGTCTAGCTCCCCATTTTGCATTAATGGATGCTGCCAAATAAATAGCATCAATTGAAGCTTCTCTTTATCTGGATATTTGTTTCTTCTTCTACAAGGCCAAGAGAGCCTCATCAACAGTTAGTAAGGGTTAGGACAGAAAGCCAAACAAACATGAGTCAATTTCTACATGGAGAAACTACAGCCAAACTTTTTATCATTGTAGGCTGAAGGGTACAGAGGTAAATCAATAGAAAGACACTATCCTTTCTCTAGGGGCTTCCAGCTTATTTTGTTTTAACAAAGAGTCTTCCTGGAGATGGTTACTGCAGAATTTCTCACCTGATAAGTGGATTACTGCCTGAGATTTGAAGGTCTTGTGTAAAACTGGGTCAGCTTTAAAAAGGGAACCTTAATAGGTGCATCAAAGCTTTGGGGTATTGAGAGGATGTCTGGCAGGATTGAAATCAGAGAAAATACCAGGTCTTAAAAGGACAAGTGTGAAGAATAAAAAATGTTTGCACTGGAAAGCTCTCTATAGAAATTCCTGATCTAGCCTGCTTTGCTGCCAGGGCTTCTATGCCTAGTTGCACAGAAGAATTTTGCCAGATGCAACATCTCCTTTGACACCATTGCAGCGAGAGAAGATATCATGTGGAATTCTTGTTTCTATGCCATTATTAAAGGCACAGGATTCCCATTTCTTACAAAATCCAGTCTTTTGAGACAGTTTGTCATTGTCAGGGGTTACTTGCTTGTACTTGGATCTATTCTTCCTATTATTTGAAGAGTACAGGTTATGGGGACAGGTAAAACTGATATACTGATGATATAGAGAAGCACCCAAGGCTGCACACCTAGAGGAAACCCAGAAGAATGATAACGGAAAGAAGGAGTGCTGCATTTATGAACAAATGGGCATACAACTCTCATTTGCAGTGCTAGCTCTGCCTCTGAAATAAATGAATTACTTTTCAGGATTTCAGTACAGCATATGTGCAAGTCTGATGCTCAAGAGTTACTTTTGCTGATGGTACATCTGGTTGAGCATGCCAAAAGGACTACCAATACCATGATGCCCTAGTGCAAAATTATGATGCGGCCACACTTGGAATTCAAGGTAGAGTTTAATCATCACACCTCAAGTTCAGTATTGCAGAACTGGAAAAGATGTGGGAAGGGGCAACAAAAATGATTAAAGGGCTGGAATGACTCCCTTATGAGAAAAATCTATCATATGCAGGACTTTTAGCTTAGGAAAAAAAAGGGAGAGTGAAAGGGGACATGACAGAGCTGTGTAAAATTGCACAAGGTGTGCTGAAAACAGATGGAAGGAGAACCTTTCCCCCCTCATAATATTAGAATCTGGAGTTGGGTGGCGGAAGGTTCAGGACAAATAAGCGGAAATACGTCTCCATACAGTGCACAGCTGAAGTATAGATTTCAATACTACAAAAGGTGGTAGCACCAATTAGGCTGGCTTTTGTAAAAGGGAATGAGACAAATTCCTAAAGGGAAACATTTGCCTTGGCTACTATTCATGATAGCTCTATGGTCTCGCTAGGTTAGTATATTTGTGTGCACTGATTATTCAAGTGGGGGAGCATAAATAAGAAAGAGCTACTGCCCTCATGCTCGGCTTGTGGGCTGCCCACGGACATCTGATTTACCACTGTGGCAACTGAAGAATGGACTAGCTTGGCCTTTGGTCTGAACTAGCACAACTCTTATCTTCTTGTTATACTATTCCACTTAAAATGACCTATACAAGAAGCCAGTTAATAGAACACAAAGTTCAGAATTAGAAAGCATATGTATTGACAAAGACAATGAAAGCTTGGCATTATATTGACACAAGTTTCGGCATTCCTCAGATTTGGACTATATATCTGTAAGCGGTTTAACTCTTTTCTTAAATTAAGGATTTTTTTAAATCCAATCCCCCACCCTCACTAACTTAAAAGAAACATGCTGCATTATAGAAACTATCTTTGGAGCCTTAGGAGTAGAAGGGAGAGAGCGAGCAAAATTTAATTGTTTTTAATGCTTAGAATATTCCGGTTTTAAGATGACAGAATGTTCTTGCTCTGACTCTATACAGTCCATTGTGCCTGTATGTTAACACTGACCTCCCCGACAGTGTAATTAAACATTCCTGATCATGTGTACAGAGGCACTGTGGATATTCTAGAGTGCTAGGTACTTGTTACTATCATTGTCCACTGGCCACCAGTAATCAGGTAAGCATTACTTGTAAGCGAGGAGGAACCATTCCAATAGAGACACACAGAGAGCCCAGATACAGGCTAGTGTAGCAACATACCTATCAGAATAATAAATAAGAAAATAGAGGAGACAACATTTGAAACATCCATCCTTCTCAGGCTGCTACTTCTTCACTGGGTAGGTTCACATGTCATGACAACCCACTCTGTCAAGAAGTGACATGGGATGGGTTACCTGTAAAAGTTAACTGAACTTAGTAAGGGTTGCCTCTTGCTCCTTTCTAGGACAGGAGTACGTAACTTGCTGTTCTGCAGGTAGTCCACACTACAACTCCCACTAACCATTTGCGAATGGGGCGGCATAGAAATGGCCTAACTAACTAAAGTCACTGTGACACAGACTGTTGCCCAAAAAATCTGGAAGGTGTCTGGTTGCCTTCCCTTCTAGGAAATAGCAACTTCAAGACACGATTGTTTGGAGCTAAGAAGGTACATCTGTGTGTGCCAAATCCCCTTCACTCTGAAAAAGTAGCCACTGGGCTTTTATTACAAAGAGGCCTTTGGAATGTCCTTTATAGAATAAAATGTAATGTCTGCAAATAACCCTGTTTCCCCCTTCCCCCAATAAGTCTTTCGTGCTTTTCTTGTTCGGTCAAGTGTGTGATTGCATAAAGTTGAAACATGAATATTACGTGTTTGTCCCATTTCAATATAATAGTCATTGGTGATGTGGGAAAAACAGCTAAGAGGTTGACAGGGAGTGAGGCTGACTGCATGTTGTTATAATTTCCATGCCAGAATCTAAAGAACTCCACAAGACAGGAGCTGAACTGATGTTCACATGCCACATAAGATGCAGCCACGGAGTTCTTCCAATTAACCCCTCCTACCTATGGAACAGCGTCAGCCATTTTATTTATTAATTTATTTATTTATTTAGAAAATTTCTATGCCGCCCCATTCGCCGAAGCCTCGGGGCAGCTCACAAACATATCAATTAAAATATTATACAATAAAAATATAAAACAAGTTAACAATATAAAATAAGTCACCCTGGCTGAAGAATAAAATAAATAAATAATATTAACAGTTAAAATGACGTTTGAACAAAAAGGTCTTCGCCTGGCGCCAAAAAACAAATAACGACGGCGCCAAACGGACCTCTCTGGGGAGCGCATTCCATAGATTGGGCGCCACCGCAGAGAAAGCATTGAAAGTTACAATTCCCTTCCCTTCTACAACTGCATATATTCAAAAGTTGCCCCAGAGGGTTTAGGGTTTGAGGCAAATTGGTGTAGAGGAGAGAGGGAGCAAGTCACACTGTATGAGCAGAGGTTCACTTGAATGTTGTCAGATTTCACCCACTAAGAGTTAGAACTAGTGTAAGAGGAAGGAAATGTATCACCATGTCTTACATTTGGATTATCTCCCAAATAGATTTACAGCAGGATAATATTTCATACTAATGTTGCAAGTGTTCTGGACTGACAGAAAGACAAACAAGTGGGCCCTAAATTGAATCAAGCCAAAACATGCCTGGAAGCAAAAATTAAGTAACTGAGACTGCCTTGTTTCAGGCACATCATGAGACGGCAAGACTCACTGGAGAAGACAATCATAATAGGCAATATAGAAGACAGAAGAAGAAAGGGAAGGCCAAGTATGAGATGGATTGATTCCATAAAGGAAGCCATAGTCTTGTACAAAAGCTGATGAGGGCCGCCAAGGACGGGACATGCTGAAGGTTACTCATTCATGGGGTTACCCTAAGTCAGAGACAACTTGACAGTCCATAACAACTGGTCTCACAGGCACAGGCATGCTTGCCTTCCTTGTGTTCCTGTATGAAAAGAAAGTGTTCAGAAAATGTTTCTAAACAGAAGGTGATCATACCAAGGAGTCAGGGTGCTTGTTTCTGTGCAATCAGGCTTGATGCTGAGCTTGGATTATGCACTCAGCCATTCACAATTAAATCAAATTTACAAGCTGGAGCTCTGGCAGGGCAGCCTCATGGAGCACTTGAAGTTATAGGCAAACCTTGAGGCCTCTTTCACATGCGATTATGTATGAAGGAGACCCTTGGAAGGAAAAGCCTTGATACAGTTTCCTCCTTTGTCAGTCAGCGGGTGTGGTGTGTTGGACTGTTTCTAAATCAGTATTGGCCCTTCCTATTCCATAAATCAAATCATCAAAGTGAAGAAAGCAGACTCTGGAAATAGGAATGACCATGTATCTATTGGAATAGAATACTTAAACCATCCAATGTCTTGCAACTGTGAAATGCTGGTTTCGCATACCTTGATAGTAGCTTGTGAAAAAGCATCATTTTGCTCTTCTTCATTAAGCTCATCTGTCTTCACCCTGAGACAGAAACTGACTATATGCCACTCCCTTTCTCACACTTTTTCTGTAAGCTATACTTCTAGTTTTTTATTTATTTATAACTTTTTTAGACCATCCCTTACCATAGCCTTGAGGTTTGGGGTGGCTTAACAATAAGACAAAATAGAATAAAACACATATTCCTAGTCAAATTCTTAACCAATCAGCAATAAAAAACAGTCAAACCTTAAAACATTCGGTAAATAAAAAGGATTTCCCCTCTATCTCTCCTTTATGTCAACATTTTAAAGGGCAAGATCCTTGGGGCAGAACTCTTGCTTTCCCACTTACATTACCCTATAAAGAGTCATATGGCACAGGAAAGAAGTCTAGGCTAATTAACAACAATGTCTTCATAATACAATGAAATGTTGCTAATTTCTGCTAAATAATCCCCCCACAACACAAACCACAACCCTCTGTATCAAGTTCCCTGTACTAAAACAAATTAAAGGGTTTAGGTGTGAGTAGGTCATGCTAGAGGAATGCTGATCATCTCATCAACTCCACAATATCAAAGAGATAAGAGAGTATGTGCCTTCTATCAGGATCACAGGAGTAGTTGTCCTGTTGTTTAGCACCAGACTTACTTGGGCTTGGCAACCACAAGAAGATCGTTGAAGAGGAAAAGATGCCGCTCCTGGGTCTGCAAGCCTGTCTTCAGTTGTACATGTCCATCCAGAAGGAATGTTCTGTTGGGACACAGGAAAGACTGCACCAGCGGGCATGACTCTGGACTGATTGGAGAGAAGCACCCTTCCCTGTAGAAAAAGACACTGCAAGTCAAACTTAAGAATGATCCTCCAGCACATGGCACTCTTCATTGTTTTGGTCTTCTGCAATGACCAATTCACTCATGTGCACTAATCTAAATGATCACATGAAGGTCAATGAGACTTAATGACATAATACCTGGATACCCAGTGCTAAGTGCTTATAATCCATATGAACAGAGGGCTTAAGTATACGTCCCCCTCGCCACACACCTGAACAAAAAGCATCACGACACATTTGGACTTTGAATTCAGCTCCATGTGTAAATACAAACAATGGAGGAGAAACACAAAATGACATTTTAGGGACAGAACAGGATGTCCTCCAAACTCTGGCAAGAAATTCAATCCTTGCAAATGGTCCTTCCTAGCATCTATTTCTTACTGTTCTCTAAAGCATCATCTCATTAAATTAGTCTTTCCTACAAAATCAACCCGCTTCCAATTTTCAAGGCTGATGTAGGTGTTGTTATTATAGAAAGTCTGAAGGCTAGCTTTTACCACCAGGACAAGCCAGTTTTGTGAGCTGTTGTCTTTAATCCTCTTACAATGTGCTTTTCCCTAGGATCCTTCAATCCTTCTTCAAACAAATCCTGCTTGCTGGAATGACAGCAGTGGGAACAGCTGGCCACCTCCAAGAACTTTGCAGGGCTACTACCTGGGTGGAGAGGTTCATGCTGTGTCTGGATGTTTCCTGGCTTCTCCATCCCTGTGTTTGTTATGAACCTTGCTGAGTACAGCTGGATTATTCAGAGGGATCTAATAATATTGCAGACTTGGGAAACCCTGACAGCTGGTGCTGGAAGGACATGAACTTCAGCATGAGCATGACTCATTTTTACAGTCAGGCAGCAGCTATCTGCAGCCTCCTTGGAAGTTGGTGAAAGTCCAGTCATTATCTTCTGATTTCTTTGCTGTCTTGAGAGCATCAGTGTTTCATGGTTCCTTAATTCTGATAAAGATTTTTTGTTTTTGTTTTTATTTCTATAGTGGTGAAACTGAGGAATTGATAAACAGATAAATTACTGATGGGGGATCCATTATCGGGTTGGCTCTAAGGCTTGCAACCAGGCTTATAACAGGTCTGGTGTTTTCAAAGGTTCCATAAAGTGGACAAGATCCTAAAGGGGCCTTTCCATGGCTCCCTTCTGCTTGAGTTAAACTTTCAAAGTGGAGAGTAAGGATGCTGAAGTGAGCTGAAGTAAAAAATATCTGAATAATTAACTCTCTTCTATCCCAGGGTGATTCTCCAAATAATGATTGTTGCTGCTGATTTGCCAAAGGGCAGAATTGCCATTTTCAGACAAAATGAAAAGGCTTGTAAATAACCCCCACTGTTCAACAGAGAACTGTGTAAACACCTTATACAATAACTTGAGACAGCATTCGAGTCTGGTGATGGTAGCAATTCCAGGCAGAAAAGCTGAACCCATTTCTGAACGAGCTAGAGTGTTACTTTAAATTACTGTTAAAATCCCACAGCATCAACACCCCTCACCTATCGTATCATAGAAATTGCTCCTGAAAAGCATTTTGTTTGCTTTGTAGACACACAATGTTTTAAAATGAAACACATCCAGCTATTGTAAACTGGATCTCCATGTGATTGTTTTGTCAGAGTCACACCTTGGAAAGTTCTGTATATTCTCCTCTTTTGTCTTTCTGCTCAGAATTAGGAAATCAGAAACATTATACTAGACACGGACACCACTGCAGTGCTTTTATTTGCACAGACATGGCTTTTAGGTAGTAATTAGAGTGTTGACCTAGAGAGCTGGAAGGTCAGGGTTCTCGTTCCCTCTCAACCATGAAGCCCACTGAGCGATTTTGGGCCAGTCACTCTCTCTCAGGCTAATCTACTTTACAGAGTTGTTGGCTGGAGGGGGACTATGTAACCCGCCTTTCATTCCCTGCAAGAGGAAGAATAAATGTAATACAGTAAGACTAAGAAGAGCTGCCAAACGACTCTCATGCTCCACTCTGAGATCTGGCCAGAATCCCCTTCCCATTCACAATTTAAGAAAAGGGAGTGGCTGTCACCATCCCAGCGAAGTCTGCCAGGTTTAACACTGACTTTTTAAGACACGATTATTCACCAAACTGGAATAAAGCTGTTCTTCAAATCAAGTAGCCCCACTAACCTCTTTCATTCTGAAGAGTTACAGCCTCGGTTATTACTTCAGAAACAGGAAGTATCCTCAATTTACCTCCATTTTTTATTTTAGAAGTAGTACATGCACAAACAAAGCTTTTTACTTTTTCTATCCAAGTCATGTTGGGGCACTCAGCTCAGACTATTAAGATAATGGGAATGTCAACATTTATGCAAACATATTCAAGAATCTTTATTGACCTCTCTTCAGTTACTCAGCAGATTAAGTATTTTTGGATGCTCTTGAATTTAGCCTGATAAATCTTCCATATTAGGAACTAAAGCAAGCAGAAATCACAAACAAGTAACTACTCAAATTTCTCACGCTGAATGGTTGGTTCAATAATATTGGAACAGAACATTCAAACTAGGAGATGAGGCACACCCCAAAAGGTAACCAGTGTTGTTTTTAGTGAAGTCATGTCTGACCCATCGCTACCCCATGGACAAAACAGACAACATTCATGTCCTTTTGTGACTTCCATTCAGTAAGAGGCCTGTACACAGCCAAGATTCACTTAGAATGGCTGCAACCCATCCCCTGATGCAATCCCCTGATTGCAATGGAGAAAGGAATTGTGGACCTAGGTACCTCAGGCTAGCAAGGAGATGACGAGGATGGGGTATCATGCAGAATAGAAGAAAGCAACCATCAGACTGGTGAGACTGACTCCTTTTTCAACTAGAACTCCAATCTTAACCTAGTAAAGCATATCCCCTCACAGTTAAAAAATTCTGAGGTCTTTTCTGAATACCAGAATTGGACTAAGCCTATAGTTCTTTCACCCCAAATGCACTCCTGGTTACTGCAAGCTTTCTTAATTTTAACACCATAATTATTTGTCCAAATGTGTAAGTTGATTTTGTTGCTGTTGATTCTAATGCATGGGGAGTTCAAAAATTTTTAGATTGATGCTGTCTGAAATACCTAGCAAGTTTACAAAGGAGCATGTACAATTTTTACTTTAAAATACTGGGAACCAGCAGAAGCTTTCTGTAACAGGCAGTAAAAAAAGTAACACCCACTGAGCTTTAGAAGTTTTAAACAAAGGCCTGTAATACATAGTTTTATGATCACGCAAAAACTAAGTTTAAAGCGATTTAATACTTTTTGTCAATTGATTACTTTGATTTTAATTATAGAAATAATCAGAAAATGGATACAAACAAACCTCCAATTAATTAATAGCCTTGTTCCAGGTAAGTAAACGTAACGCAATTTACCTTGGTTATGGCTGGCCTGGAGTAGTCCACTCAGCCAGACCATACTAATTCCATCTTATGCAAGGCCAGAAGACAGAACCCTCCCTTGTCCTATGCAAATGACCTGGCTGAGGTCTTCTATAGGCCAAGCACTATAGGTGGGCATCAGGATGACTAGGCCAATAAGGAACCTGCCGGACCGGTTTGGCTCCTGCTAAATTTGACCTGATGGGTGATCTTCTCCATCAGTACAATAAGCCATTCAATGACTGCCCAATTATCTTAATCAGTAAAAACTTTCATCTTCTATCTTGGTAGGACCAACCATGGGAAAGTTGAGCAAGGTAGCAGGGAGGGTGGCAGTTCCTGCTCAGCAACTGCACTTGGGGGTCAGGGTGGGAAATGCAGGGCAAGGACTATTTATGGATGTTTGCAGTTTGGGATGGTCATGTTTGAAGGAAATAAATCTGGCAGTTATCATCCTATTAATATGGTTTCAAAAGGAAGTTTTTTGGGATGAGACCCACCTCTGTTTGTACTCAGCTTCTTGGGCAAGTTATTTGTCTCCTATACTTGTATGAAATTGGGTGTTTTGTGATTTGATACACAAACTACTGCAGCAATTTTGTGCATGGCCAACCCTATGGCAGCCATTTTTTCTGACAGTGCTCATGACACTTTCCAAAAATTCCAGATATGCCCAAATGCCCAAGAAGGTTGAAAATCCTTTTTGAAGCAGTGCAAAGGATAGAACTGTAAAACGTTGAGATTTGCCACAAAGCAGCAGGTGCTGGAGAAATTTATGGAATACTCAGAGTGCACAATTTAAGTCTAAAGTTCAGTATCTGTTACATACAGCTAACAGGGTCTGTGAGAGCTTGTCTGAGAACCACTGCCTGGAAATGTAACGCAATGGAGAACAATTCAGAATTGAGGAGTTCTGATCAGCATTCCATGTTATTTTATTAGCTAAAGCCAGATCCCACCAAAATGTGGCTAGTTTGTGATGGATGTTGCCACCGCTGCCATCAACCAGATCTCTCTGCCAGCCAAACTGTTGTATTGTGAGTAGGAACAACATGCTGTTTCAAAGATTAAGGCCAACCCTATACCATATTGAAAGAATAAGCACTGTATTTCACACTATTCCCCCATAATCTGCCTTGCTGGTTGAAGGGAGGGGTTTAAGGACAAGAGCAATAACAGTGGCATGATGCCTTCCTATGTTACATTCCCTTTGATCATTCACTAGAAATAGACTTCCACATTTAGCACTACAACTTAAGAAGTGGAGGAAGTCCATGTAGATACACAACCCTATTCAGCTTCATTGGAGCTACAAATGTTAAAGGTTCTAGCCTGGACTGTTCCCATATCACAAGCCAGACAACCATCCTGATGTGGTCATTTCAATATCCTCAAGATAGGAAAGGGGTAAGAGTGGAGGTAAATGTATTTATCTAAAGATTGAGCCAGTACATCAAAATTATTAGTGACTTGCAAGCGTCACACATCATTAAGAGCACTAATTTGAAGAAAAATGAGGAGCACATTCAAGAAATTCATCTCAACAGATTATCAAGCTAACTCAACTCTGCATGACCTTTTCCTGAAATTTAAGCAAGCCTGTAAC